GTACTAACAAATGCATAAAAAAAAAAATTCACTATTATTATTGTAGGCGGGTAGTATTGTTTGTCTAAAATCAATTCGTGTTTAGCCGAGTCTACACAATATCCAAACCATGATAAGAAAGAGCTTTTGTGTAGTTGTGATCGGCAGGCACATGTTTTCCTGTGCGAATTTACCAGATGTATTTTTTGTATACAGTTGTAAATATCATATAAATAAATAAAGATTTATACATTTTGAATGTGTTACTGAAGTATTTTATTTATTTATTTGGTATTTTGTTGCCTCTACCCTGTAGGGTCATTGGCAACGCCTTTAAATTACACTCTGTTGCAGAGTTTTATCACTTTCGTTAACGATTTCGTCAGAGTCAGTTATAATGTCTTGTTCACTCTTTATACCAGGCAATTTCTTTGTTTTGGAGATCCCCTTAATGCTTTTCACTTTATTCCAGAGCTCCTTCATTGAAATGCTCTGATTTAATGAAGATACGAAGTCTTCCCATGACGATCTTTTGCTTTTCGGTATATATCGTAATCTTTGTATCTCACTGTTTGAGTTTCTTGTAAGTGTGTTTCTTGGAGACAAACTAGAATAGGGTTCTCTTCGCTTATTGTCATTTTTAGGTGCTCTAAACGTCGGAAAAATCTGTTACAATTCCATTGAATTGTTACTGAAGTAATGCTATTTTTTTAGCACTAATGATTAAAAAAAAGTTTAGTCCAATAATTGGAATCACCTTTTGTTTATTTTTCTTTATAACTCGGAAGGTAAAGTTACTTTAGATGTATGATTGTTTGGAAATAATAAACCATTGTGAAATAACTTGCAGCATTTTTTATTGTCATATTCCTTGAAAATAATATTTAGTCTCCTCTAGGAAGAGCCTAGTCAAATGCTGAATAAATACTGTAACAAATATTCTTACTTATTTAGTTATATTTCATTGTGGAATAATATTATGCATAAGTACATAACATTGTCGGAGCCCGTATTTAATTAAGCCCATGTTACGTATGGAAGCCTGTTCTAACCTTGCAGAAGAATATCAATGAAAATAAAATAAAAACTATATTATATTAAAAACTGCTTAATTTTACACTGATATCATGAATTGAATCAAACTCGTTAAAGCCGTTTTCGAGAAAACGGTAAAAATGTGTTTCATCTATGATATAAAGTGGCACTTCCGGTTAGCTGATTTTGACTAAAAAGTTGCTGTAACATCTCAAGTATATAAAAACCTTAAATGTGATATTTCACTTTCGTACGGCTTTTTGTTTTTGAGCTAGACTGTTAACATACACAGACCATTTAGCGGGACTTGGTTATTTGGCCTCAGGGAACCTCAAAATGTGTATTCCGTTGAAAACTGATATTCGAAAATGTTCACGATCGCAATACTTTCCTTTAATATACATTACATATATAGGTAAGTAAAAGTAATAAATCTTAAAAAAAAATAATAGGAATATATTGGGTAGATAATGTTTTATTATCTTTATAGTGATCAGTTATTTAGTAAATATTTCATAATTTATCATATAGATGCGTGTTTTTATTGTCCCGACAAATAGTTAAAACGGTTAACTGTACGTCGCTAGTAGTATCGCTAAGTATTGCCGTTCTAACATTATTCATCTTTATCACTATTATAACAGTATCGCTCTGTGTGCGCCTCCCTTCCCCCTCCCCCAGATTAGGTATCGTCGTGAGTATCGAACGGTACTGTATTGTCACGTCGTAAGGCGTTTCATGTGTAGTTGTATATGTGTAGTGTGCCACATTCAAACCACTAATGATGGACTGGCTATATGTTACAGCTATATTTTGTGGTCTAGTGGCAAAGATCGGTGTAAATATGTAATAGGTATAATAAAAACATAGGCAATGAAAACTACTCCAACTGCTGCTAAGGAGGTAAGGTTGGGTTTTCATCCCATGCGGCTAGAGATAGAATCAAAGGGCTTGAACTCTTTTTATAGACTAGCAAAACTAAAATTATGTTCGGAGATGTATACCTATGAAGGATACTGGAAAATATTGGATGGATCCATAAATTCGTTTAAAGGAAGAAGATGGTCCGGGGTTGCGGTCATAAATAGGCTAAATAGTGGTAAAACTATTTTATTGAAAGCCGACGTTTCGACCCGACTTTGCAGGTCTTCATCAGGAAGGTGTGTTCATCTAGGAGATTCACTTAGAACTCAATGATGAACACACCTCCCTGATGGAGACCTGCAACGTCGAGTCGAAACGTCGGCTTTCAATGAAATAGTTTTACCACTATTTAGCCTATTTATGACCGCAACCCCGGACTCCCTCCTTCCTTTATAATGCAACGGTCAACTATTAAATATTCAATAAATTCGTTTAGTTTTTGTTAGTAGTACGAATTGTTTTAAAATATTTCAAGTTCTCTTTGACTGATAATAATGATACTTATCGGAAAGCCAAAGTCCACTCTTCGAAACTCTTGTGTTGGTTTCATTGGCATTAGTTTTGTTTGTGCTATAGCGTAGTGAATATGTTAAATGGCAAAGTGCATTTTAGGCATGTTTTGCTTTTTTATTTCAAAAAAGGCAAACAACCTTCAGAGGTCCAACAAAAATATGTCAGGTATAAGGGGACAATCCCTTAACAGAACGTACTGCTCAAAAATGATTTGCCAAATTTCGTTGCGGTGATATGAGTCTCGAAGATGCACCTCGCAGCGGTCGGCCCGCCAAAATTTATTTGAGTGATATCAAGACCGTGTGATATCTCTAATCGAACAAGACCGGACGCAACAGGTACGAGAAATTGTAGAGTCACTTGTAATATGTATTGGAACCATTCAAAGGCATTTAAAACAGCTAGACTACGTGTCCCACCTACGATGTTTGGGGTCACACAAACTGGCTGAGGCAAATCTGTTCAATCAAATATCAATCTGCAACTCACTTCTGAACCGGTACAAAACGGATTCATTCTCAATCGAATAGTGACGGGTTGATCATCTACGACAAGGTAGTGCGCAGGAGATCGTGAACAACCGCTGACGACAGCCTAATGCCACCCCAAAGACCGGAAAAGATTTTGCTTTCTATTTGGTGGGATTATCGTTGCGTGATGTTTTACCAGTTGCTGCCACAAGAAAAAAAAAGGATTGATTCGAAGATCTACTGCATGCAGCTAACGAAATCGGACCAGGCATTGCAACACAAACCTCTAGAACTAGTCAACCTTATAGATGCAGAAGCCATGAATACTGGTGTTCTAAAAAACAGACTCATTCTAGACTATTCCTGTGTGGGATTTCTACAAAGAGAGCTAATCTGCTAATTAACTTGAGCAATAGTTTTCTTAAGGAAATTACTGCGATCAATAAAGAACACTGTAAACTGAATTATCATATGTTCAAACTCGGAGTCACTATTTTGTAGATCCTTTGGCCGGGATGATGAAACAGCTTATCATATTAAGACCAACAACCTTGTTAATTCGCCAAATCTTTTTCAATTTGCAGAGACTGCCGGAATAATGTTCTAATTAAAATTAAGATTAGTTAGGGCTCACAATAGACCGTCGTGGTCGCGGTGCTTCTTGTCACAAAAAACAGAAATAATACGCTACTGCTTCGATGGCTTCATTATTGATTTATTTCTTAGAATTTCAGAGCATTTTTGTCGGTTTTTCTGAGGCTTAGCCTTGATTTTCCGGTCCTTCGAACATATGACAACCACACGATAAGGTAACTGCTGTGCAATATCGAATGCGCAATGACTCAAGGCCGAACATCATTTGAACCGCCAGCAGTATGGTGGCAATGACCTCACACCCAAAAATTTTCACTTCCCCAATGACAAAATAATTTAGAGCGACATGTTTGTGCCACTTTGTTGGGTAGTCAAATCGCGATGAAAATGGTTGCGTTACAAAGGCTTATTGTCAAAATTTATTTATTTGCTTCGTACCGTAGTCCAGTGAAAACGTAATTTATATTCAAGGACGCTTCCTGAAGCAAAGCATTTTACATTCATGTATAATGAAATAAACTTATGACTATACATTGCAATTTTTATTTAAACTAATTTTATTATCGAATGTTGCCAATTTCTCACATTTCAGAGCAATTAGTTGGATAAATAAAAGCCAACACCGGAACAATTGGGTGAGAGGGGGAGGTTGATTGCGTAATTGCTCCGGGCGGTAGAATTACGATAAAATAAAAGGACATTTTCGATAAAATATTTTTTTTTTAGTTTAGGTAAAAAATATTTCTTCCCACTTCGGTCGCTTTGACCGTATTTGATTCACTGGCACGAGTTAATATTATCTCATGATAATATTTATTTCAAAAGAAATTATCTAAGTTGTTTTTATTATAACATTCTGTCACAATATGGATATTGTCTATAGAGGGGTAAAATGTAGAGAGACATTCACACCATATTTACATTACCTAAAATACTCATATAAAATGTTGACTTTTATTGGCTAATGACAAAAGCTTGCTCCTGCTGGCTAAAATACTTGTTCCGGCTCTGGGTCAATCCGCTTATTGATTCCTGATTTAAAAGCCATTTTACCTCATTGCTCGACCGTTTTTAATACCGAAAACGAAACTGAACGAGTTTGAAATACACGACAGGAATGCACTCTTCTTTCAGACAAACTTTGGCTTTAACACTTAGTATTCGGCCTACATCGTTTTTCAAAATGACCAACATTAGTTGAATAACTTCTCAATATGAATCATTCAAGATACATTGCGGCCGGTCTATCTGTCTCAATTTTAGAGATACCACAGAAGAAATTTGGAATAGCAGTCAGGTGCTCTGTATATATAAACGTAGATAAACAAACACAACGGCTCAAGCGACAATAACTGCATTAATTTATAATAAATAATTTTATTTTCTGGCTATAACTTCTATCTCTTTAGGTACAACGAAACTTAAATTAAAGAAATATGATGAATAAAATTAGACATAAAGCATTTCAAGATAAATTATCACTTGCCTAGATGAAGTCATCCAAACTGAAAATGCAGTCTGGCTAGTTTGTTATCTGCTTCACCCATATCACTACCCAATCAGTTCCTTCATCCGTTAGTTGGTCTAGAGGAAGAAAGATGTTCATGTGTCACCATATTTAAGGCAAGTTTTGATTTTATGTATACATTATTCTTGAGCTGAGATAAAACTAGGACAAATATAAAATTTCTCAGAGCTTTAACATTTTGTGAAATATAGATTTACTAACTAATCTGCTCTCGGGTTGTCTCTTCCTAAATAACCTCGAGAATTATTTAATGAATAACTTAATGATGCTGCAATAATTTGGGGAAAAGAGGAGAGAAGGAGAGAGGAGAATGTCTCTGCCGCCCAATATTTCACATAAATTTATTTTTTAATAAACTGAAAATAATAGGTATACGTGACCATTTAAATTAAGTACTCATAAAAAACTTAAAATTCACAAATAACCCACACAACTTAAATGCTAAAAACAGAGATATGAAACATTTTAAAGAAAAAAAAAACATGTTCTAGAAGTTCAGATCTTGCGATAGAGATCAAATAACATTCCTCTATGTTTAGTTGCACAGGAAAACATGTGCCAGCCCAGCACAACTACACTTTTAAAAGCTTTTTCTCGCCATGGTTGTGTAGGCGCAGCTAAACAGGAATTGATTTTAGACAAACAATACTACCCGCCTACAATAATAATAGTGAACTTATTTTTTTTGTATTTGCATTTGTTAATACAGTTATGTAAGATTTAAAATCATTACGCTCGTATACAACCATAAACATACCAATCATTCAAAATACTCGTGGTATCGAATGGAACCATTTGGGAGAGAAGAGGATATGGAGAAGATGGTGTTAACTCTAAATCATACAAGAATGGCTAGGTAGGGTGAAAAAAAAATAAAGTGCTAAGTTGACGAATCTACAAGAGACAATGTGTTTTAAAAATTTAGATGCGGACAGAATAAAGTCATAACCAAAGAACTTTACCGGCCCCAATGATTTAAACCCTCGTAATTCAACCCTTAACTCGTAACCAACGAGTCCAACTTGATATCAGGGGCGCCACCTAGATGCCAAGATTACCACTTCATATATCGTTGTGGTTTTAAACAAATTAAAATATCTCTATTAATTGTACTCTATCATAATAATTTAAAAATCTATTGGAAAGATGAACAAGAGAGAATGCCCATAAAATCTCTTGGATAGAGCCGTGGAAAGGACGCAAGAGCCCAGAGCAAATTCACCACAGAAACTTAACCTTTTCAATTTAGTATATCCAACAAAATTTCATGTAAACATGTAAAATAATTGTTAAATAATATATGTAATGTTTTGTTTTAGTAAAATTAGAAGGTACAAGCTATAACTCCCGGGACTAAACTCTCTGTTGCCCTTCACTCTCCTCTGACCTGCCCTTGGATATCTCGGATAATACTCGTACTAGAAGAAACTTCTTCATATTTTTTATAAAAGACGTCTTTGCAAATACATTTTAATTTCCTTGATTATTTATATTAACATTCGGTATTGGCGTTAAAACATGACGTTATAACGTTAACGTATATGTTTTATGTTAATGTAAACCAAAGCGGCCCAGACATTTTTTTTGGGGCTGCAATTTTTGGGAATCAGAAAATTTTGAATGAAATTATAATTTCATATTTAAACAAATTTGTAACCGTTACAAAACCCACTCAAGTAACGAACTGCACAAGAACCGATTCTACTCTAATGAAAAATAATATAAAAACGAAAGTGCACCAATCCTATACCTCTTATTACTAAACTGTTAAATTAAAATAATATTTTTCCGTGGGGCAGTTACTAAATTACTTTAGAAGTAAACTAATACTTCAACACGATCATTACAAAGTACATAGCTTCATTAATTGTGAGCACCAGTGGTGCCCAGAACGGGATTTTATGCGTAGTTGCGCCATCAAAATTTGTGAGGGTGGCATATTTTGAAGGGTTTTTAAATTTTTGAGGGTGGGCATATTTTAACGGGGTTATGATTTTTCTGAATGAAAATTTTCAGAATAATAGACAAAGATAAACCATGAAACAGACCACAAGTTTAATTTTGTATGATCAACGATTTTTCTAATTCTACTTTGCCCTAGCTCAGTTTTAAAGAAAAAGAATGAGCAATAAAATTGGTGGGGAAGGAATGGGCACCCCTGTTGTGAACTGTTAACGACTTTCTTGATATATATCAGTATGAATAAACATATGCATTTCCCTACTTGTCTGATAATTTAAAAAACGATTAATGGACAGATATATAAAATCTCTAAATATTAACTAACAATACTGTTACCTGTAACGTAAAATTTGAATTGTTTTATCATGTTTGGTTCTTTATTAAAAAATAATAAATTTAAATTCTATAAGATAAAAAGAAACCCCTTTTATTTATAAATAAATTTCTTAAACCATAATAAATTGAATTAATTTCATAATGTTAATCAAACTCGATAATTTATCGTTTAATCAATTCAACAAAAATTGGGGATCACAATATTAATTGAGAAATGTTTTTTTAAGCTACGTTACAAAAAATGAAATGCAAAAAAAAATAAATATTAAAAGTTAAGTGAAAATCTTATCAGATGGTTGTAACACAACCTGTTGGGTTCTTGTAAGGAAGGCTTCTGTTGTGTTGGCTAGGGTTCTGTTGTGTAAATATTCGGCTTAAATTGTAAACGGCTTTGGGTGAGTTTGCAAATAAAATACTTCTGTATGATCTTCTCATTTTATCTTATTTCTTTATGCAGTTAAAGTGATTCATTATTCTTTTCTGAAACAACTTAAACTTATTTTTCTTATCAAGTTTTTATTGGTGGTTGATTACTCATTGAATGGTTGTTATAAAGTTGGACATTTGGATTTTTCTGCCTTATTTATTATGTAATGAGACAGATAATTTTTATTCCTTTTTTAAGTTATTGTTTTGTTTATTAGATAAGAAGGAAATTAATGAATATAAAAATGTGTATGTGAATTTAAAATTGACTCATTGCCTTTGCCCTAAAAATAATGTTTTAATAACTGTAAGATTCCTGTATCTGATAAAAAATAAAATTATAAGTTTTTATGTCTTTACCTCAATAACAGACCAATTTAGAGGATCCACATTAAACTGAAAACTAAGAAGTAAATAGATATTTTTTCTATTATCCAGATTATTTGACAAATTTTTAAACTTTCCTTTATCTAACATTATGTAAAATCTTACCATAACTATTGTGAACATATGGGATTCAACCGTGGGGTTTTGTTAAAACTTTAACATTTAAGGAATTCAGTATAAATTTGTGGAAAAATAGCAATGTATCATTTTATTTTGTAATTCATGTTATAAATAAGGACTTAGGGATCTCAGCAATTCTAGATGCTATTACATATTATAATAACTTCACCAAACACAGACTTATAACATAAACTAATTGACAGAAATACTATAATGTTTTAGAAATATATATCCATAATTGACTCAAACTACAGAGAAATGCCATGAAATATACTAAGTTAACTTACACTCTTGAAGTCCGACACAGATTGCTAATTTCAATTGATGTCAAACTTTATTAGGTTTATAATAATTGTTAATGTTTTAATTAATCATCCCCTAAGTAATTGGCATATAAAGAAAGAAAGGGATGATTATAATAAGTACAATAATTTAATTACGATTCAAATTAATGGTTAATAAACTATGATTCATTTATCAAAAACTGTATTTGATATAAATTTTCGTTAGTCTTATATGATTCCATCATTTATTATTTTGCTTTTTTATTTATGATGATGTACTTATCTGTGTGTATTTTTGTTTTGTTTTTCGAAATTAGTTGTTTTTAATTTTTTTCAGATTGTATCTAAAAAATGAATATTCCTCAAGTTTCAACAGCTTTTTGTGGCCAGTGTTTAAGAACTGCATCTTTGATTATAGCATGGTCTCTTACTGTATGTATATTGCAATATAATGTATTATTAGATGTGGGTAATGTTTAATTATACTGTTTGATTACTAGTTATTTTGATGAAAAGTAACTTAAGGTATTAAGTAATGTATGGTTCTAGTTCACAAGAGTTCCGCACGGATTACGCATGGTTCACAATTACTTCGGTCGCACTTGTTCATGGAATCCCGAATGCGTTCGGTTTATCCGAAAGAGAACGAAGGTGACCTATCTCTTGGGCCAGTTACTATTAACTTTCCCGCCATTTAAGTACTTCTATAACCTTAACCATGTTCAGTTATATAGCAGGAGCCGACTTACATTCGAAATTTAGGCTACACATGAAACCTGAATTGAACGTGTACATATATTATAGATCTGTAAAAAAGAAATAGTAATAGATAAAAACCTTTAATTATTACATCTCTGAATGCTATTTCACTATATTATTTTACTTATTGATGATTTCCATTATTCATTATCTTGGAATTATCGGATATTCTTCGTCAGTTGTTTCCCCAATACGTTAATTTCTTTCTCGAAAATAAACACAATTTTTTTTTTTGTACCAATGACTAAAATAATCCCCATTTTCGGATTACCAAGAAAAATAACTGCGAATAACAATAATTACACAGCTAATTCATTCAATAAAAATAATAGCGATTAAAACGAAAAAATAAATTTTAAGTTAACAGTTAACTAACTGGCAAATCTACGAGTCGTTGGGATAAATATTTATATATATAACAATTGATAGACACATTTTATTTATCAACTTTGTACACTTTTCTCGCACAATCTTTAATCTGACATTATTTTCAAAAATAGTGGATCCGTATATCTAAGAATTCAAAAAAGTTACATAAACTTGATGCTCAATCTCAAATCAAACAGTATATGCATACAAAGCACCCCTCCCCTCACTAGAAAATAGTGGACCCTCCTATTATTAGAAATCTAACAAATTACATAAACTAGATACAGGATTGCGCAATTCTAAAAAAGGCTTGCTAAAATAAATTATAAATTAAATTATTCCAACTTCTATTGAAAAACTCAAATAACAAATAAAAAGATAATAGATAACTTTAAATTATTTATTATCCAAATGATAAAAAAATCTATTATACACAGTTATAAAAGATAATATACAGTAAATGCGTATTTACAGCCACTGCATGTAAGCACGTGTCAATAAAAATGTTATTGTAAAAGCATTTTTTTTAATAGACCTTGAAGAAACGACTCAAACATTATTTTTATTTTTATTTCAGAGTGATAACCGTTATAATAAAAATTGATAATTAACTAATTAGTAAATACACAATTCATTAATAAATTGTTAATAAGAAAGTTCCATGAAGGGAATAATTTATTAATACAACAATCGGCTGTTTTCGGGATTCCATGAATAAGTGTGATCGAAGTGATTGTGAACCACACGTAATCCATGCGGAACTCTTGTGAACTAGTACCTAATGTATTTATCTGAGTAAGGTTTCCAGTCTTTTAAGTAATTGCCTTAAGGATTGACCAGTCCTTCATCTACCTCAGCTGCTTTTTTTTTTTTAATCCACTCCTTTCTCGCATTTTAGGCTATACCTGGATTTTTTAGGCTATCCAGGGCAAGGGGAGAGGATGAAAGATTAATACCAAAGTTAAAAGCTCCCTCACCCTCTTGCTCCTCCCCCCGCGGCTTCAATATATCTTCCACCTAAAAGCCGTACATATATTACATATTATGTTTATTTATGTACACAACTTTTAGTAGAGTTTCAGCGCGTTAAATTTGGAAATGATTAGAGATGAAATTAATTAGATTAATCTTCATGATTGTGATTAATGATGGAAATAATTAGAGATTGACCGATATCGAAATTTTACAAACGATTACTAATACTAATATATTTTAAAGCCGATACCGATATTATAAGGGCCTGTATGTCTGATATATCGGTCTTTTTTCCTCTTTCCTCAAAATTTGTACAGTTTCACATGAAATATCCTACTCATTGCTAAATAAAATTACTATTCTATACACTCTACTACACAAATTTTGACCGATAAAAGAGAGATTTTTTATCGAAATCGAAATTCTTCATGGGGCTATCGCACGCCTCCACAACACCTTAGGAGGAGCATCTTTGATTGTTCCTATTGCACAGAGGAGTAGGAACGAACGCAGCAATGCCTCGAGCGGTGCTGACATACAACAATAACATCCATTCTGCTACAGATTTTACAAATATTAAGATATGTATATGCCTTAGATGTCCTGGCAACTTTTTCCTTGAAATCAACTAACCGGACGTGTCACTTCATATCAATGCTGAAACACATTTTTACAATATTCTCAAAAATGGCTTTAACGATTTTGATTGAACTTTGTGTATGATTATATAATTAAGTGGTCTTTAATATCATTTAGGTCTTATAACAGTTGATGTCACTTTACAGGGCTTAAATGCCCAATGTTCATATGCTTCTTCCTCTAATGTACCTTTAATATGGTTTATTTTAAATAATTAACTATCTATCATTATTAAAAGTTACGAAAAAATGCTTAACATAACTTTTAAAAGAATTTGATAATTGAATAAAGGAGAAAAAAATAAAAATGCTTATACAGGTCGAAAATGAATCTCCCTGGAAATACTAGTCAGAAGATTTAAGATAGTTGAAAAGCAGAGAATTTTAGAAAAAAACAATATCTATTATAGAAAGTTATAGAAAGTAACGGAGAATGGCAAAAAAATTATAAATAATAATTTTCGAAAACTCATAATATTTAACGTAAATCACATGTTTTCAAGGAAATTAAATGAAATATACCAACTAAATGTAAACTTTAAAAAATATTTTTACGTTTGTAGAAAGTATTTAAAATCCGCCTAATCAAGACAAAATGGCATTGTTAAAAAAACTATTTCATTGTACTTCTGTGAAAGAAGAAGTAAAATATAACTATGTATATTTTATGAAATATATAGCATATGTTCATAATCTTAAATACATTTAATGTAGTTTAGTGATTATAGATCTGATATTATATTTAAATAATTAAGTATCAGCTTTTATTCTGAAAAATTGTCATGTAACTTTTTAGAAAATTAAATTAGTGAATAATTTGATGAATTTTCCCTTCGCGAAATCCCAACATTATCATATCTTCCTCTAAAGTACCTTTAATTCGGTTTATTATAAATAATAACTATTTATCATTGTTAGGAGTTATGGAAAAAAGCTAAATATAACTTTTGGAAGAATTTGATAATTAATTAAAGGAGAAAAAATAAAAATATTTATCCAGGTCAAAAATGAATCTCTGGAAATACTGGTCAGAAGGTATACGTATAATATATCGTTGGAAAGAGGAGAATTTTAGAAAAAAACAATATCTAATATAGAAAGTTGTAGAAGGTAACGAAGAGTGGCAAAAAAAAAAAAAATAATAATATGTTTTCAAGGAAGTTAAATGAAATTTTCTTACTGAATGTAGACTTTTAAAATTTTTTTAAAGTTTGAAAGAGTATTTAAAACCCACGGATACAAGGCAATTACATTTTTTAAGATACTGTTTCATTGTACTTGTGTGAAAGAAAAAGTGAGATATAAAAATATTCCATGGATACATTTATAACCTTAAATATATATACTGTAGTTTAATAACTCTTGATCTGACATTGTGTTTAAATAATTAGGTATCTATCATCCATTTATTCCAAAAAATCATTATGTAACCTTTTAGAAAATTAAAATAGTGAATAATTTGATAAATATTATCTTTGCGATATTCCAACAGAATCCACTTAGTGTGACAACTTCTGACCTGTCTATGACAGACAATGCAAATCTCTTAATTCCGTTTTAATAAACTGCAATGGAAAATAACAGTTTAATAACTAATAGTCGTACAATCCATAATCAATGGATCGAACAATCCATAATCAACGAATCGCACAATCCTTACTCAACCGGTGATATAATAAATAGGAGTTTTGTTATTTTAATAGTATTTATGATTTGTTAGCTGCAATCTTTTAGCTTTAGCTCAGTTAAAAATGCAATTCAAAAATTTTATAATAGCCCAACATGGCCAGAAAATAATTTCTATTCAAAGTTGAGCGGTAAGTGAAAGTTGTGTGTTGCGCGCACCAGATTTTTTATAATTGTTTGTAACCTTTATTTTTCACATTATTTATTTATTTTTTTCTTTTTCTTTTAACTTTAAGGACTTGTATCTACTTTTGTATCGACTTCTTTTATGTTACCTTTTTGTATTCAGTTTTGTTTTAAGTTTTTGTATTCAGTCCTGTCTTAAGTTTTATACTTAAGAACTCGAAGTTCACTTTGTGAACTGGGATGGGGATGATAGGTAGTACATAAGTAGTTTATCGATCATTTAATTCAGATACATAAAATATTATAAAAAACATATTTTAATTATCACTGTTTAAAAACAAAAGTACGTGCATGTGTGTGAGATAAATCAGTAATTGAATTCAAATCAGTATAGAGATAAAACCAAATCATTAAATAATTTGTCAGAGATCAATCATATTTCAATAACATTTTACAACAAATATAATTATCTTTGGTAAAATATAAATAGTTATAAAAAGGAAAATATTGCAGACGTAGTAAAAATATTTAAATTTCTTTCACATTAAAATTAATATACTGAAATCAAAAATATATGTATATATACATATATATTGTTTTATTTTTATATGTTCATATTTTTTGGCAGTTATTTAATTGTTTGATCAACTACAGTTCACCGAAGGTGTAATTTACTGAGATTTCACTCATAATTTTTTTTTTTTAATTGCCTTTTTTCAGTTATAAATATTTTTAAATATATTTTTCTGTTATCGGCTGGATGCCTAACCCATAACAGGTTTGAATTAAAAATTTTCATTATTTGAACAGGATTCTTGTAATGAGTATAACAGATCTTTTTTGTACTGAATATTTTATTGATCTTTTTCTTTTATATTTTATTATAGTTATTAATTTTTCATCAATTGAGATTTTAAATCTATTTTATTGTTTATTCAATTATTTTATTGCCCTGCTAAATCATGAATTTTTCTATTTCTATTTATATATATTTATTTATTCAAATCCTACAAATATTCTGTTTTTAGATATCAGTGGGCATAGTATGGTCTCTCTATCTTTCATTGCTGCCAGTTATTTTTAAGGAATATGATTTCAGTTATGGGAGTAAGTTCAGTATGCAGTTTTTATAATTTATTATATTATTTAAAATATTATTCATAGGGAGATGAGTGATCTCTGTTTCTAACAACATAGCTCCTGGTCCTGCAGGCTGCTATGATTACAGTTTGGTCATAGGGCTAATTATCAGAATTTCTATTAGTCAGGAATTTTGGGAAAATCAGGAATATGTTGGAAATTATTTACTGTCAGGAATAATTTGGGTCTTCTTAGTAAATTTTGCAATAGTTGGTAAAGTCATCATTAGTTCTAAAATTTAATATTTTCTTCAAATTTGCATATTATGGGGGATGATTAATTTTGACTATTTATATTTTATTCTAATTTTAGCCATTTATATTTTTAGAACAATAAATTTAAATTAAATTTATACCCGATTGTTGTAATAGTAATTAGAAATTCTTTCATTAGCAGTTCCGGTAATATGTACTACTACTACACTTATTTTTTACTGGTCTAGCTAGATTCTGAAATTTCATAGAAAACTATTTATTTTCCTTTTGCCCCCTTTTAAGGGTTCCGTTAGGACCCTTGCAGCCTTGGTTTCTGGCCCTTGAAGTAGTTCCATTTCATTGCTTCGTGCTATTTGGATTTGTACTTCTATCTTCCTCCTATGGTGTCATCTCTGAGCATTAGTAAATAGTGAAGCATTCCCTCTCCCCCCTTCTCCAGACGACACAGAAGAGGAAGCCAGCATCATCTCAAGAACGGAAGACCTCTCAGGTGATGCAGAACCACCAGGATGAAGTCGAGGCAGCCGTTATGAAGCTGAGGAATGACAAAGTCCCAGGACTGGCAAAGCAAAATGACAAAGCCGGCATACAGGCGATGATTCGCTCCGGTGGCGAGGGACTTATGAAGGAACTCCACAACCTCATCCTTACAATATGCGAAGAAAAAAGGATGCCACAAGTTTAGAGACAAGGAGTTATTTATCTGCTTCACAAGAAGGGGGACCATACGCACAAGAAGGGCAACCAAAGGGAGTGTGACAACTACAGGGGTATTCGAGTACCTACAAGGTGTTGTAAAATATCCTTTTCAAGAGACTATCCCATGCTGAAAGGGAGATAGACAATTACAAGGCTGGATTCAGAAGGGGCAAATCAACCACGGACCAGATCTTCTCCCTGATAAAGATTCTGGAAAAAGCCAAGGAATACCGGATGGTTACGAACCATCTCTTTCTGGATTTCAAGTCTGCATACGATGGTGTAACCTGACCTGAGCTCTATCAGGTGCTAGAAGAAATGGACATAATCAGCAAGCTGATTCTTCTGGTGAGGATGACCATGTTCTGGTCGAACAGCGTGGTTGGTATTGGATCTGACCTCTCTGAAACCTTATGACACGAACTGCGGCGTGAGACAGGGAAACTCTCTTGCATGCCTTCTCTTGAATTTGATGGTGGAGCAAGCAGTGCTTAGATCGGGAATCCAAACACGGGCCACCTTATTCAACAGTTGGGTCCAGTTACTAGGGTACTTCGACATAGCTGCCAGATCGGAGGGTGCTCTAAGAGAAGCGTTCCTGGCTCTGGAACAAGAAGCAAAAATTCTTGGCTTGGTCATCAACGAAGCCAAGACAAAGTACTTAAGAATAGGACCATCCGAGGCAGGGACAGGTTTCTTCGAAGTTGGACCATACAGATTTGAGAGGGTGTGAAGTTTCGTATACCTGGGCTCAGAAATAAATACCCAAAACGAACTATTCCAGGAGATCAACCGGAGAATTGCCGCAGCCTATCGAAAGCTATTTTGGGATAGCAAAATGCTTCAAGAGCAGACACCTCTCCAACAAGACCAAGATCAGCCTATACAAGACCCTGATTTGTCCGGTTCTTACGTATGGGTCAGAGACCTGGGCCTTCAGTAGAGCCAGTGAGAACCTCCTTCTGGTGTTTGAACAGAAGATATTGAGAAGTATTTTTGGCCCGGTTTGATAGGGAGACAGCTGGAAAAGGAGGAAGAATCAGGAACTTTCAAAGCTGTACAGAAACCCTGATATCATCAAGTGAATCAAGATTGGAAGACTCCGATGGATGGGCCACGTGGCAAGGATGAAGGAGGGCGAGATCCCAAAGAGGACATTGCCTGAAGAGCTTCATGGCAGGCGAAGAGTGGGTAGGCCAAATGTGAGGTGGGCTGACTCCGTCACAGCTGATGCACACAATCTCCTCGGTGCAAGGAACTGAAGAGCTGCGGCAACAAAGCCAACTGGCGGAGACTTTTACAAAGGCCTAGACCGGTTAACGGATTGTTGCGTCAACTATGTATGTATATATGAAGCAGTCCCTCTTACATCCTTAGACATAGAGATTGTAGCCACCACACTTCCATTGCCGGTGTCAATGGGGCTTGATTTAGAGAAGGCAGTCATTATAGGTAGCAATGCCTGATTTCTTGACTCCGTGATTGATTAGGCACCTACACTCAATTTTCAAATCCTTAACTTCCTCAGTTAAGGATTGCAATAAGGTGCTGATAAACCTGTTGCCTACATCTTCAAGCTTAGATAAGTCTGTCTCTATCACCCATGAATCCCATCGGACTCTCTGAGGTCAGGTAGGTAGTACTAAGTACTGGGAATTCACAAACTGTGAGTAGGGCACTGTAGTCTGATTATTCCACAATGAGGGGAGGAGGAGACTCCCGCTCCTGGGTCTCTCTCTCTCTCTCTAGCTCTTCTGTTATCCTACCCAATGCACCCCTTCTCCTCTCCATTTATTTAATTTTTTATTATTAAATTATTAATTTAAAAATGTCTATTTAATTTTTAAAATATATATTTATTTTTTAGGAGGATTTCAAGCGTTTTTTTCAATTTTGGGAATGATTTTAACTTACTTCTTCATTGAGCATTGTTTGCTTCTTTGGGGAGTACTGAAGGTAAAGCAATTAAATATAAAATTCAATTATTCAAACGTTTTGTATCTTTTTAATTTGAGTGAAAGCATTCATTCTAATCCTATTGTTATTACATTTTTAATTTTGTTCTCCAAGTTAGACAAACTCCTTACCATCCACATTTTCAAAAATAAAAAATCTTGATATATTGTTTTGTTTTTGAGAGAGAGTGAGAGGAAAGTGAATAAGAGAGAATCTTTCATAAGAATTTGGACTGTGTACATTTTGTTTCTTTGATTTCATCAAATATGTTAGTGTCCATTCAGTTTTGATAATGCCTCCAAGAAGGTCTAAAGGTCCGTTTAGATGGCTGATGTGTTTCATGAACTAATATCCCTGGTGAAGATATTACCAATATATGGAGAAAAAATACTGTTATGATAGAAATAGTGTCTATGGTGAAAAGGTTAATATCAACACACCAATATCTTACTACCAGGAGTTATACAGATTTAGAGTTTAGCACAGCTATTTCCAAACCATTAAACACCTTCATAATTTGTGGAAACTTTTCATGTCATTTAGATAAGCTTCTAAAGTACAATAAAGGTAAGTGCAAGAAATCTTGATTTCATAATTTATTAGTTTAAAGTATCATAGACAAAGATAAGGATTTATTTTTTTCAGGTCAATAACACTTAAAAAATTGTTATTAATGTGTAAAAAAATAGACCGACAGCCCTCTGCAAAAGCCTGTTAGAACAAAAACTATAAATTTTCAGGAGATGAAAAAAAAACTGCATGATTTTTGTTCTATGAGCGTTATATTTTCGGTTCAATTTTTTTTGCAGGCCTAAGATAAAGATGTAATGCTCTATGTAACTTTTTTGATCGTATTTCTGCCAGATTATCTTTTAGAGCCATTACTCCTAACTAAGAACTTTTTAGTTACCTTGAAAAACATTTATTAGGTTAAAGCAATCAAATTTATTATAGTAACACCCATAACTGTTAATAATGATCAAGGCATGACAAGAACCAAGTCAGTTTCCAAAATGTAGAGAAACAATATTTCAATGAAAATTTATATTAAAATTTATCTGGAAAGCAAGTATTTGACCATTTTGTCTCCCACTCACTGCAGGAGTGATGAGTGCATGCACCCCATTTTGTAATAGTCTATGAATAATAATAATAATAAGGCTTAGTGAACCCGAAGGTTCGATGCCGACACCACCAATCGCTTGTTACACACCACAAGCTGGTGAACAATACCGTTGTACTCCAATTTTTTCTCTAATATTTGCCATAAAGAAAATATTTGATCAATAGTCGAACAATTCCGTCTAAATCCGCATTTGTAGTCTCCGATAATTTCCTCGGCGTATTCCGTGATTCGACTGGTTAACATTGAAGTGAATATTTTATAACATACCGGAAGGAATGAAATTCCTCGATAGTTATTACAATCCGTCCTCAGACCCTTTTTGTGAATCGGAATAAGAATAGATTCTTTCCATTCTTCAGGTAATTTCTCGTTCACCCAGATCTTTTTAACCAACCGATGTATTTTAGAAACTCCAGCTTCCTCGCATGCCTTAATTAGTTCAGTAGGAATATTATCGATTCCCGCTGCTTTATATGATTTTAATTTTCCGATAGCTACTTCAACTTCCTCTTTACTTGGTCCTTCTATTAACGGTTCAGCACTCTGGTACTCAGAAGGAGGACACAGATCATAATTTCCCGTATTTAAAATATTTTCAAAGTGGTCCTTAAATTTACTCAATATGTCAACCGGATCGGTCAGAATATTGTTATTATGTCTCTTACGTTATTTTCGATTCTATTAGTTTCTATTTCAATTATTTTATTTTTAAGATACTCCCTTTTTTTATTTTTGAGCAATTTTGTCGTTTCGTTCTTTGAGATTCGGAAGTATTCCAGATTGTCTTCGCTAGGATTATTTAGAGCTTTTAATTTAGCGGCTTTTCTTTTTTCGCACATGTTTAAGCAATCTTCATCAAACCACGGTTTGTTATTCTTATTTTCCTTTTTTCCTAGACACGAGTTACCGACCGCTTTAATATTATCCCTGATCTCTACCCATAACTTGTCAATATCCTCGTGGTCCTCGTCAGGAAGCGCTAAAGCTTCAAACCTATTCTTAACATCTAGCTCGAATTGGTTTCTAATTGATGGATTTTTTAATTTTTCCAAATTAAAATTCTCAAAATCGAAACGGTTTTCTTTTCTCTTTTTTATATTAAGTTTTTGTCGAAGTTTCGCGATTACTAATTCATGATCCGACCCACATTCTGCTCCGCGATAAGACCGTACATTGATTATACTGCTTTGCCAGCTGTGTTGTATCAAGACATGATCGATTTGATTTCGTGTTTGCGAATCCGGTGATGTCCAAGTATATTTATGAATATCCTTATGTTTAAACGTCGTACTTTTAATTATCAGGTTTTTCGAGATGGCAAAGTTTATCAGACGGATCCCATTATCATTACTATATTCGTGCAAACTTTCTTTACCAATCGTCGGAATATAAACTTCTTCCCTTCCTACCTTTGCGTTCGCGTCACCTACAATTATTTTCATGTAGTTTCGCGGTAGTTTATCATAAACCCATTCGAGTTTATCGTAAAATTCACTTTTGACTTCATCGTCACTGTCTTCGGTCGGACAATGTATGTTTATTAATGCGATTTTAAACCAACGTCCCTGAAATATAGCTACCGAAATTCTATCACTAAAGAATTGTACGTCCCTCAAAGCGGATAGTAATCTACTCCTAATTAGAAACCCGGTACCTAAACAATGATTCCCGCTTCCTCCGTACCAAATAGTGTACTTTCCTTCCCTCATCGAGCCCTCCCCTGGCCAGCGAACCTCTTGCAGAGCCACGACATCCAAATTGTACCCATTTACCTCATTCGCGACCGATTTTAGCCCCCCTGCTGTGTTTAAACTCCTTACGTTCCACGTACCAATATTTAAATCCCTATATTTCAACTTGCGCCATGAATCCCCTAAAGCAGTCCCCACCCGGAGACCCGAACGGGGGACTAGTTTACCTCCGGATAATGAGCGTTTTACCTTAGGGAGATCCATGACTTTTTGTGGTGTTTGGTGAACTAAAAATATGTGAGTAGGGCGTTCAATCCTACCTCACACCCTCCAGCAAGTCTGGTGGGCCCCTCCCTCCAGCAAGTCTGGAGGGCCCCTCTCATTGTTGGTCAGCGAGTCCATCGGACTTAGCCTGGAGGAACTTCCAAGGAATTTCCACCGACCATCCCCACATCCGCCACCTGTGGGATGCTCCCCATATGCGGTAATGAGCCCGCGCGAGGAATAGTCTATGAAAGATTTGTTTTTAACGTACTCAACTTCTTATGGACATGATTTGATTCACTAGTGGTTGGTAAGTTCTAGGTAACCTGCTGATGTGTAGATCACTTTGTTTCTGAGCTTCTTGCGATTTCAAAGATTCATTGGTTTGAAATGATGAAACTAGAGTTCTTTTTTCGCATCTTATTAAATTTTCCAATTCATGAAACCAATTCTCTGTTTCCCACTAGCTGGGGTTCAGCGGCATTGTATCTTTTTTCCAGTCAAGCTCATTTTGCAGTGTCCAGGAGGTTTTGATTGTTTTGAAGGCCCTTTAATATTGTATTCCCACTTAACATTCTCTTCTTTCCTTTGTCTAGTTCCATTGTAAACAGTGCCAGCCTCAGAGCAGGGTACTCAGGCATTTGTCATTCTTAAAAAAAATAATTCAAAGCTTATGAGAAATAATAATTTTAGCCTATCAATAAAGCTTATTGATACTGTATTCTATGCACAAAGCACTTAATACATTCTGTATTTACAGGACTACTTTTCATTAAGCATTTCATTTCATCACGTGTTTTTGGTAACGACACAATCTTTATAACCTTCACTGTAACTTACAGTTGTTTACATCACAATTTGCTGGTATTTAAATTACACGTTTTTACAAAAATCCATAGAGAAGAAATGAAACATCGTAGATTGCATTTTGTGGGATCAGAATATGTGCCAGGACAAGATTGACCAGAAATACTCGAACACTTATTTTCCATAGAAATTGTCCTTACAGGCTTTTGCAGTGAGGCTGTCGATATTATTGATATTTTAAAAATAATGTCTGTGACTACAACAAATAAAATTATTATTTATAAAATTAATACTAATAATTTTATTATTAATAAAATTATTACTACAACGATTAAAATAAAATTAAGTATTGTAGGACCTTTTTTGTTACCTTCATCAAATCTTTTTCTGAAGTGAATTTCGGGATGGTTGGTTGCTAAGTTGGCTTGATGAGCTTTTATGATAATGGAAAAGAAGACACAGACTTAGGGTGTTTAAAGGTGATGGAAGGACTTATTACAATCCCTGATAATTTTTGGCAATCTCGTTCAGAAAATGCTTAGGACATTCCAATGAAAATATTACAGGATGCCTCTGTTAGGATGATCCTCAGAACAGCAAATTATCATCCACCATTTTATTTCAAAATGGTGGCCAATTAGAGGTCTGTCTGGCTCTCGGCATTACCAAAATAAATATGAACGCAACTAAACATTTTTCTCAAACGCATACCAACTGTTGTTAAGCAAGAAAACCAACAAACATTATAGTGGGGGAGATTTTTATGTATTTGTGCTACAGAGATATATTTTGATTTAAACTATTTTTAAAATAAAAAACAGCAGCGAAACACTAATTTCAGTTGAAATCTCCAGCAACATCAGTGCTTTGTTGCTTTTTCTGACAGCTCCCTTTAATCTGTCTTTAAAAACTGACATTAGATAGAGCCCAAGAAAGTATCCATTTTGCACACATGTTTATATATTTACAAACATTTAACATTGTAATTTACAAACATTGTTTGAAGTGTTCCTGGATTTTTAGACCAAAGCCAACGGAAAGAAAATAATTTACTAATTTTTTTTATTTATTGTTTGTTAGGGTCCTATGTTTGGAAGTATGAATGAATGAATTATTTATTTTATTTGTAAAAAAAAAAAAAAAAAAGATTGTCTATCTATATTAAATAACATTAATATCATTCATAACTTCAAATATAGCTCATATAAAATTGGTAAACAAAGAATATTTTAGAGATATTAGATTAATAATAACATAATTATACATAACAACCTAACATAACATTTGTTCATAATTATTAATTATACCGCCTAACAGTTTATCGAATAGCCTGTTATGCAATGGTATTGTTGGCTTAGTTTTTTCACACTATCTATTTTGAATATATCTATTACACTAATGTCGTCCCTTGATTCAACAATAAATGTCTCAAAAAACTTATTCTTAGGTCCATCAAATTTGCTGCAGTAAATCAAAAAATGGTGCATTGGTTCAAATTACATGCTCCACACACTATGTTATATTGGGTTGTCCAGAAAATAATTCAGTATTTTGGGTTTTCTTTAAAATACCTCTCTATATAACAAACTATTTATGTTTACTGGTTGAGATATTTCCTGGTGGGGGAAATGTTTTGTGTGAATGCTATTGTATCCGAGCGTCCGTCCCGTTATGGTGAGTAGTGAAAAGAAGTCTGATAAGATCTAAAAGATAAGAGATTTGAGCAGGCTGAACGACGAGACGCTCTCAGCCCATTCCAAGGCAGAACTTCGCATAGACAACACCTAGACTAGACTGGAGGGCCCTCTCAGTTAATTAAGATATCTATGCCAGCATAAAAAGGTGAGTTTTATTTTACACAATTCATATAACCCTAATACTTTCAATCAAAATACAGTCCACTGCCAAAATAAGTCGAATGATGCCTATGTTGAACTCATTTCAGTTATTTTCTTTTACTTTAATTAAATTGGAAAGTTGTCTAAACAGTAGATTTTCTGGACTATGGCTCGACAAAGAAGAAGCAGCAGAACATTTTTCAAAGCCCCTAACTTATCAAAAACAGGTGATGGTTACTGTTTGGTGGCCTTCATTTGGTTTGATACACTTCAGCTTCTTAAATCCTGGAGAAACCATCAATGTTGAATCTTATTGTAACCAAATCAATGCAATTTATCAGAAATTGGCAATAATGAAGCCAACTCTGTTCAATTGGAAGTGACCCAATTTGTTGCATGACAATACTCAGCCACATGTCTCATTTGTGACATCACAAAAACTGTTTAAGCTTGGATATGAAACTTTGCCACATCTGCCCTACTCTCCAGACCTCTCCCTATGGATTATGATTTTTTTAGACGCCCGGACCACTACTTACATGACAAGAAATTTAATAGACAAAGGGAATTATAAAATGGGTTTTTGAAGTTTATCAATCCTAAGATAGGAAATTCTATTCCGAGCGAATGGAAAAGTTCCCAACAGGTTGGCAGAAATGTAGAGACTATTTTGATTAAATAAAACGGTTGTAAATCTTTCTTTTTTTCTTCTTAAGCAAAATCCTGCACTATTTTCTTAACAACCCAATACTTTTTGATGAAGGCCTCATCTTTTATGAATATCTTACGAATTCATCGCTTTCAAATCTGAAGCGACCGACAGCTCTTAGTTGGTTTAAATTTGGAGTCTTGAAACGCAAGTATTAAAGGAGAAAATTTTTCTATACCTGGAGTTTGTTGTAGCACTTAGTACTCTATCAATTTCCTTGGATGCCTGATGATTTTTCATTTTTCAATTTGTATTTGGAGTAATAAACCTTATATAATAATAATTTGCAGCATTTCTCTAATTTATTAATTGTTTTACAGAAACAGCAATACTTCCTTCTTCCGTGGATAGTGGTGACATGTCTTACTATTTCTCTTGGTATCTGTGCTGCTGCTGTATTACTTATAATGGCACTTGTTGAATCTCCAGTTGCTCTCCTTTTCTTCGTTCCTAATTCTTTATTCACTAGTAAGTATGATAATGCTTAAGAAATAAGCCAATATTATTGTAAAGTTTCTTAGGTATTATTAGGCGAGGTTCTCTTTCCCCTATCGGTTACCATAATTGCATGTTTTAGGACAGCAAAGACCCCGTATAAGGCATGTAAAAGTGCTACAGAGCGATAAAGACTTATAAATATGAACATTCTCTCAAGAAACTCCTGTCACCCAAGTTTCAGATCTCAAGTACCCTCCTGTGCCCCATAGTTAGGCTCAATTAGTCTCGAAAGGCTGCTATTTTTCACCTTTTTACTTTTTTTTTTGTGCAATCACAATGTATTAGAAAATGTTTTCAATATTATCTTATGTCATGAACTTTTAACTGAAATTACTGTGTCCTACCCCAAAATTCAGAACATTAAAATCACTATTTTCCTTGAAACATTTTAAGATTTATATACAAATTTGGAAATGCCTATAGCTCTATAGGTTGTTGAGCCTTAAAAACTAAAGTTATAGCATAGTCTAATCCATATTGAAACCTGTGATTATTTTCAGATGCCACTCGTTGAATCTTTTCATTTTTTAAAGTTGGACACTATTTATTGATTTTTTCCTATTTATTATTGGATAAAAGTTTTATATACAGTTCAGTGTATTTCACCATTCGCCATGGAAATAATTGATTAACACATCAAACATAAATAATGAATAAATATGTATTTAAAATTAACATAAAAAATTAAATTATAAAAAATATTAGCTTTCCGAAAGGTTCTGTTCATTATTTTTTTTTTTAATTGTATTTTAAAACTCTTTTAATTCGGCTAACTTTATTATATTTATTACAGAACAAGAAAGTATAAACAAATTATATGGCTTTTGAGGTAAACATAAAACACATCAAGGTTCATAATAATTAAAAAGTTTAGGACTGAAATGGGTTGCAAAGTCTGTGTGCTCAAATGGCTTTTCATCTATTCATTTATTAACGATTATATCCTAGCTCTATTGGAAATTTGATGCTTTTTAATTCACTTTATGCTTATGTAGTGTTAAACGAGTCGGTGAAATACCGTAGAAGCGTATTTCGGTCCTTAGCTCTTTTTTTTTATTGTCATGGATTGTTATGTCCCTCATCGCAACAGAATATATACAAGTTGTATAATTGGTTATACATACTAGTTCTGTTATGAATATAATAAAATTAGCTGAATTAAAAGAATTGAATAGAAAAAGAGCATCTAAGTTGAGTGAGGTAGATACTATAACTGAAATATGCCTTCAATTTTGTGCGATTTAACAGCTGCTTGAAATCTTCTCACATACTCTCTTGTCTACATGTGGTATAAAAGAAATTTAATGCTCTTTCAAATTGATTATAATACGCTTCTTCGAGAGATACATAAATTATGGATTTGTTGGGAAAAGTCAATGAAAACTATTTCTTGTGAATTAAGAAAAGTCAACTTCCTCATGACTTGTATATAGAATGAGGGGACTTTTCATGTTTTTTCTCTATGGGATGAGGAACTAATCTCCACATTTACAGCCAATTATGATTTTTCTTGATATCAGCTCTGTTTTTTACCTATATTTACTGTGCCAATAGTAATAGTCACCTAAATAAATATCTGAATATTTTGATGTACATTACAAATTTCAATTATTTCTAGTAAAGAACAGTCATGAATTGACTAAAATGTTGCTGTTAATGGCTCTTAGATTGGTGCTAAAAACAAATAGGTTTTATTGTAGTGATTGCTGAAGCAATAGCCTTGCTCACAAAGACATTAGAGATATATTCACTGCTGACTGCTATTGTCTTTCTGTTCATGCACTTAACATTGATTTAGTTTTTTTAATAATCATTTATGATTTCATATAGAGTGTTTGTTTAAATAGGTGGCCTGATTTACTGCTTATTGGTCATCTATTCATATTATCAGGAAATCAGCAACAACTCAAACACACAATACTCTGCTGTACAGGTCATTTAGTTAAGTCACATTCATTAGATAAGATCTACTTTTATTAAAATCTTGTTTTCAAATTTGAAAATGACATATTTTGTTTTTTTTATTGTTCAATTTTTTTTTTCTTCTATGAGTAATAAGTTTTATATTAAAATAAAACTTATAATTATTTGAATTTTTATAAGTAATTGTTTTTAAATTGGGCTTTCTTTATTTCACCTTTATCTGGAGATTTCTTTATTGACATAAATATATTATTAGCTGTCAATTTATTCTATTTTTGTTAGATTATTTTGATGCAAGAATATAATAAATGTTTCTGAAAATAAGTATTCTATTTTTTTTTAATTTCGGCTTAGTCAACTCTACATTTACTGGCTGTTACTTTATAATTATAAATTCTTGATATTTATATGTAACCTTTTATAAAACTATTTTATTAGTTACTGTTTAATTCATTTAGTTAAATATTCTTTTTAGATTAGTTTAGCTTTAATTATTAATTTCATGAAAGATCTTATTTTTTACTATTTATAATAAATTTTTTATTAAATTTAATGTTTAAAGATATTGATTTCATCAATTTTATTTTCTTCCTGTTAGTCATAGTTATACTTTCTTAATAACTAGGTTCCCTTTATCTGGGAATGTTTCAATTAAGATTGTATTTATTTTATACAAAGTTTTTTTTATATTATTTCTTTTAATGCATGAGCATAACAAAAAAGTTTCTAATAAAAAAGAATTCTTTATTAAAATTTGTTTTCTGAAATTTTTCATTTTCTTAACCTTCACCTTCACTCCACACATAAAATCCGAATCATGCCTTAGATAAAATTTTGTTATTTTTTTCTTCATATTATTCAATTATAAAAAATAACTTAACTAATCAAGTTGGTACTTCTCTGTTAGTGGGTAGAGTCCGACTGCTATCCGCCAATGTTTATAACCTTAACACTGATAAGCTCTTCGTATTCGTATATATTGTATTATATTCATTTTATTATGTGTTCGTATTCATATTGATTGTATTGTATTGATATTATTGAAATTGTGAACAAAAACAGAAAGAAATGTAATAATAAATGCTTTTATTTCACAACGTATATTTAAAAATACTTTTATTTCACAAGGTATATATTAAAATATACCAAAACATAAATATATTGAAAAACATGATTTTATGATGATTTTTTCTTTCTTTATGATTTTTCCCATATGATTTTTTCTTTTCGAAAAAAGACTCTCGTCTACTTCGACGACTTTGCCAGGCCCTCCAATTTTTTTATTCGACCTGTATAACATGTCATGGGCACAAACTTCTCTTAAAAATTTGTTCCATGCTACGACAGTTTGGGTGGATAGTTTGAGCTGCTCTTTCCCCCACTGAATTGTAGTTAAATTATGGGACCACCCATAAATGAATTTTAAAGCCGTCAAAAAAGAAATCCTGGACCCCTCTAACCACGTTCCTTTCCTTATAGAAACGGTTTTGTTACACCTACGAGAGCATCTCCATTTAATCTTCCCGTCGAACTTCATTTTACGACCATCACAATAATCACAATATTTCACCTTATCAAATATCCCGGCGTCTTGAAAATATTTGATAGCCTCTTCTTCCGAAGATGGCAATTCCCACAATGTGACAACATCCATAATTCCAGTTGAAACAAAACAACACAATATTAACAAAAGAACACAATATAATACTAAACAACACAATAACTTAAAGAATACTAAAGAACAACTAAACTAAAGAACAAGAAAAACTAAAGAACACAATAACTTGAGAAACGAGATTGGGTCGATAAGGGAGGTTATCTGAAACGAGATGGTTATCTGAAACGAGATTAGATAAGAAGGAAGGTTTCGACTCTACCCGCTAACAGAGAAGTACCATTAAGTTTTCAAACTTCTATGACTTATAAATATCTTTTAATCTATACATTTTTCATTTGCATTTCTTAACATTATTGTAATCGCAATACAAATAATTTTGTTGTTAAATTCCTCTATAGTTTTATTTGATAATGCAGTATAACAGTAACAGACAAAATTCAGTTAAATTCTGTAATAATTTTTAGGTACAATTTGTATAAAAATCAATTAAACCGGCATACTAATTTATTTCAAACTTTATTTATGTTTAATTAACCTAAACTAAAATGTTAATTTCTATCTCTGTTGTTGTTCCTCTTGTATGGAATAAGTATAGAGGGTAGAAAGTAAGTTGGGAAAAGTAAGAGAGAAAAAGTTCCAGAAATCTATGATTAATGGAAATCTGAGGTTACTCCATCTTCCTAAGAATGCAATTAGATTATTCTTAAGTCTGTTACAACTTCTCTAGAATCGGAGTGTTATTGACTGTTGTAGCAGTCCACCATCATTAAATGGTAATTGATTTATTTCATTTGAAATAATAATATTCTTACGGAAAAAAAAATCATATGTATAGATTGAAAAGATAATATTTTATGTCATTTAAACAACTTTTTATTTATTTTTTTGAGACATGGCATGTTAAATAAACCAATCACATAAACTGTATATATAATTATATAACTGCATTATTCCTTTAATAATATAAAAGTAAAAAATAAATATATTATTCTCTTCAACATCCATAATGTTATATAAAACTAAATTTCCTTGCCCTATAATAAATACTAAAGACAAAGGAATAAATCATAAAATTTATCTATACCACTATTCCAAAACAATATAAAGTGAAAAATATAATTATAAATTATTTTCTCCCGCGATACAAACATGCTGTACATTACATTACTCAATAAATAATACTCAAGTGACCAGAACAGGTTACGAAACTTAACCTATGCAATACATCAAACAAATACTAATATTAATTTAATGTTTTTTCATCTAAACAGAATTAATTAATCAATAGGAGAACATGACATTAATCCTATAGATATAACCAGTGCCGGCCTTAGTCATTCAGCTCCACCGGGCAATGACGCCATCTCTCTCCCTCCTATAAAAATTTAATTTATTCCTTCAGCTATTTCATATAATGCAGATTTTCACTTTTGGTTCATTCAATATTTATTTATCTAATACATTTTCTGTATTAATAGACTAAAATTGATAATTTTTATACATTATGTATTTTTTTTTTTAATTTTTAATAGTGGCGAGAGCTTCTAATGATCAGCGCCATTCCAGGTCGGCGCCCCAGTTGCCCCATCTTAAGGCCGACACTGTATAATCATTGTTAGACATTCATAGAACTTTATTGTTAAGTTTAATGAAGCAAATTTCAAAATTTAAGTAGCTATTTTTCATTAATTTAAACAAAAATTATCATATTAAACAACTGATTAATGTGAAGAGAGTGTATTAGGAAGTGATAAATTTTATCACAATTCACGTATTTTAAATAGAACAATGACATAAATAACTAAATTTATAGTTATAGATAATTATAAATTGTTACCGTCCTATCGTTATATGCATTACTAAATGCTGTTTGTAAGAAAATATATGTTTACTTAAAAATTCATATGTATTTAATATCAACACATTAAAGATTTTTTCATCCATCTTTCTTCCATTCTCCTATTTGGGTATATAGTATACATCGCTTATAAGAAATTCTAGGAACCTCAGATATACAATCCAATATTAAGAGAAAAGGTTGGTCCACCACCTATAAAAACGAACCCCTAGGTTGCAAGAAACAAAACTTATTGGAGTCTTCCAGTATGAAGTGAAAATTAGATTGGAAAATGGAAGAGAGGAATGGAAAGAGAAATACTATATCCTACAGTTTTATTAAGTTGTTCTAAATTTGCTATTCTTTGGTGCTTCAGTGCAAAAATTAAAAAATTACTTTGGACCAAGTATTTAAAGAAATTGATGATAATTAAAGTAATACTCAAGTGTGCAGAAAGTTTATAGATCAATATTGAATATTATCTCAAATAAAAAAAAAAAGAAGATAGAAGGATACGTATTTCTCGAGACAATGATTCATTCAGAGATGCAAATTTAGTAAACGTGTAAAGACATAGGATTGCATTCTGGTGGGAACTCATATTGCAAGAAGTTTGCTTCTAATATCAAAAAAATATTTAAAATATCGAAAAAAAAAAAATCAGGACAATAATAGGGGAAAGGATGAGGGAGAGTTGTTGAAGGCTGTCTACAGTCCTCCACTCACTATTTCTGTTCCTCCTAACGCTTAAATAACAAAAAACAAAAATATTCATGAACTAGAATGCAAGAGAAGTGAAATGTATATTTTACAATATGCGAATTAAGAAGTGGGGGAGGGGGAGGGGAAGGGATTCTACTCTATAAGAAAACTTAAACATTAGAAACACATTAATTTAGAACCCTCATGTTTCTTACATGCAATTTATACTATATACATTTTTAATTATAGGAACTAGATTATTTTAAACTATTTTTCATTTGAGCTTGAATTTTCAAGTTTTAATCAACTTGGAATGGTTCTTAGAAACAATTACATTGTTTCAAAACTAGCAGCGAGAGACTAACACAACATTCTTAAAACAAAAATATTCTAATGACTAATTAATGTTGTACAAGGGCTATTAACATATAGCAATTTTACAGCTTAAAGTAGATTGATATACATATTATCACACAGCCATTTTTTTTTTTGGTATCACAGAAACAATACACCAACTCTTATTGAGAAGTGGACGATGAATTAAATTCTTGTCTTAGAGTCCAATAACCTACTTTATCAGGACCCCTGTAGAATGTTGCAATATTTTCCAGAAGTTTCTTGAAAAGAGGAGATTTCCCAGGACCAACTCTGAGTCGAAACTTTTGTACTATCTAAAATATGAAATGAACAGATGTGAAACAAAAAAAAGAGCTAAAATAAAAAACAAGTTTTAAAGATGAAAGGTGAAGTGAATACAAACTAGGAACTAATTGCTATTAATAACTAGACAGTTACACAAAATCTTTTGCTTTGAATATAACCCACCACACCATGTCCTCTACTCAAAGTATTGACTAGATATCTTTTTAAAAAATTCTACCTTTCTGTCACTGAAATGTTTTAATTTGAAATAACAATAATGGTCCATAAATATAAAGCTATTATAATCATAAATTCATAAATAAAAGGAACAAAATTTATGTTACAGATTTTTAAAAAGTGGATTTGAGATTTTCATAATTTTTACTTATGTATAAAGTTATTAGTAACGTAAAACATAATAGATAATTATTAATAAAATATTTTTTTTATATAAATGCTAAAAATTATTAAAATTAACATTACATCGTCAGTTGGAGATGTTCCACCTTGTTGCTGCAACCAAGAAATCATATCAGAAAGGAGAACCTGATCAGAATTACTTGACTCTAGAATCATGTTTCTTTTTTTGATAATATCCAACAAAGAAGGTTTATCACCAGGCTTTTTGTCACTGAAAAGAGAAATGGTGAATGAACTAATTTTATAATAAAAGCAACGGAATAAATATTTCATGTGAGAGAGAAGATATGATAAAAAACACTATTTTCTTATCATTATTTAATATTAATGAGAAAAAAAAAACGCAGCAAATAATAATGCAATTACATCTACTATTCTAATACAAAATCCAAAATTGGAGCACAATCACTATTTTTATTGATCAATTGTCACACCTCCACAAATGCAGGTAGCTCAAAGAAAGTATTATGGTTAATTAGGTATTATATTTTCTAAAATAGCTTAATAAATTACTTCTTTGGTGGAATACTAAATCTCGAAGGTCCTATTCTAGACTTTCTTAAAGTTTTCAGGGCATCTTGAGCAACTCTTTCAGCTTCTGCTTCCACTATAGCAAAATCACTAGGCCCATCTTCCACAATTTTGTCATGGAGCAGAGCAGAGTCGATCCCTAAAGGTGGATAAATAAACATTAAAAATAATTATGCAAACATTAACAATGTATGATCCATATATTATTATCATTTAATGTAGTAGGTAGGAAGAAAATAAGAAGATTATGATGCTTCACGAAATTTATATTTCAACAATTATTTAATTTCTGGTGAGTAATATCTTATAAAACTCTTACATGTTCAGTTTTGCTGAATGTTTCTACTGACAGCTAATCTTTTATCACATCAGGAAAGTCAGATTTTTAGTGAAATTTAAAACAAGTATACATAACATATATGTACCTCAGAGGTATATGAAACAATGATCAATTTTTACCAATGTTGCCATTGCCTATAAAATATATTTAATTGTATTTATTCAGAGTTATAAATAACTATGCTGTAGACCAATTATCAAGGGAGTTACAAACATTTAAAACGACATTAACTACACATTTATTTGGAAAGAAAAATCTATACAACCTGCTTTCTGGTTGTTAGAAAAATACAACAGTACCCTATTTATCTGAGAGAGGACTGTTTTTTCTTTACCCAAAGATATTGATAATAATGTAATAGGACAGGAATTCTTAAACTTATGTTGTTCCCAGAACCTAAATCAACTCAGGATGAACAGGAGATCTGTTACTAAACTTAAAGCCATCCATACAGGGCAATATAAAGTTCACTGGTGCTGCAAAAATTATATTTTGATAAAAAACCAAAACAGCTAACAAATTATGGTGTACAACAGATCTGATGAGACCACAGAGCATAATGCCATAAACAAAAAGAAACACAACATTTCATTTTACATAAAAATAGCAACATCTATTTCTTTTAATTATTATGTAGATTCCATTAAACGTTTTTGATTTTCCTTACTTATTTAGGTTACAAGAAAACTTCAACAATGTATCCTAATCCAGTTTTAACTAATGCCAGGATAAAAGCTGGAATTATGATCAGTTTAAAAAAACTGTCCTCGTCAGAAAACATTTAAGTAGTGACATTACATGAAGTGAAGGAATTTTCATGAGAAATAACACGGATTGGATACCACCAATTTACAGTAGCCATAGTTTTGAAAAGAAATATTTATTAGGAATGAAAGAAAGAAACAGGGAGAAGAAAAAACAAACAATTTGACTGCTTAATGGTGCAATTGTTTTTAGAATATTATTTCAAAATTGGAAAAGAAATATCCAGAGATCTCGCAGATACAAATGTGGTAAATAAAATAAACTTTTTACAGAGTGATGCAATTTCTATGGCCACGACAGTATATCAAATGAAAAATCTTGTTTAAAAAAATTTAAAAATTAATTGCCACAAAAAAGAACCCTTAATTTGTGTTCAGGATGAGTAATAATAATTAAACAAGAAAAAAAAAAGTTTCATAAAGCAAGAGAAATTTGAAGAATACCTTCTATAAGAATAAAAAAATATATGGTACTATGGGAGTGAGATCCTCCCATTAACTTCCCAAATATAGGGTGAAATTTTTATTTTAAACTCAGTTAACTTTGTCTTGTCTAGTCTACATGGCTTCTAAATAGAAATCATTAAATTTGAAAGATAACTTTTAGTTAATACAAAACAAAAATATGGGATGAAAAAATGAATTTAAGACTAATATTGTATCAATAATTTACAAAACCGTTTTGGACGAGAGAGAAACCACTTTTAAATGTTCAAAGTTTAAAAAATTGATAAAGTATTAATAAAATTGCATGTATTAAATATTCTACCAAATTGCCTATGAAACTTCTTAAGACATAAAAAATAACTAACTAATGTTAGTAGGACGGGACAAAAAAATGAAATCTTTCTATTGAATTATTTTTCTCATTCAGTATGTTTAGGTTTAACTTCATCAGCCATCAATATTTCAAAGACAATATAGCATCAACTTATTAAAAACAGGAGGCTTAAATGAGTTCACCAAAGTGTAACAAACTCAAATTCTTTGACAACACTGATCAAATAAAACGTGTTGAGTTTATGCTAAAAACTTTGTAGACTATCATAGGCTTTGATACAGTAACAATAATTGATAGTCTAATAATGATTATATTTAAATTAAAAAAACTAAATAAAACATAAAAATTGTGCTAATACGGTAAGGAAATAATCAGCAAAATCCTAAGAATAGAATAAATACAGAACTTACCTTTAGAAAATAGTTTTTTCAAGACATAATCATCTTGAGAAATATATTTTTCTTTTGCATCATTTTGCTTATCTCTTTTATATCTTCTTTTTTTAATCAAATGAGGTACTACCTGCCCATCAAATGTGGCAAAATTATCACTTGATTTTCTTCTACTTTTCTTTTTCTTCTCGTGATTTTTATTCACTGAACATTCCACTGGAGAAACTGTTTCAATCTCATTTGCAGTGCGTACTGTTTCTTTGTTGCTAACATTGTTAGAAGTACACTCTGAATTGGATAAACTATTATTGCGATCTTTTAGTGAAGCTTCAGAATTGGATAAACTATTATTGTGATCTTTTAGTGAAGCTATCACTTTTACAGCAGCACTTATATTGATGCTACCATCTGGACCGTAAATATCTTCCTCTTCCTCTTTGGGAATATCAGCTTCTACTATGGTTTTGTCTGTTTTTATGTTTTGACCTTCAGATTGTACCTTGTCAGCACTTTTATCAACATTATTTTTGTCAGAAAGCTTTTTACTTATAAGTTGGGCTAATTTCTTCATTTGATCGATTTTAGATTGAGAAAATGTTATTTCTTCATCATTTGAATCAGATTTCCTATTAGAAATAGTTTTTTTTATTTTAGATTCAAGTTTTTTTTCAGTCACCTGAAATGTAAAATTATTTCTTAAAAGTACTCCCAAATTAATAAACTAATAGACTTTTTTTTTTTAAATGACTAACTTCTGATCCTGTTCCAGCAAATATGGCAGCAGTTTCAGTTGTACCGTTCTTCACAGTTTCTGTTAGAGTAAACAATTCCATTAAATCATTTGACTTAAAAAATCTCCTCTGCCTAGGATCTTTGAGGACTCTGTTACTAAGAAATTGTTTAAAAATTTGACGATGATAAATCTACAAAAAGAAAATTATTGTTTAGAAACCAGTGGGAGAACATAAATTTAGTTAACATAAGTATATTAAGTAACATTTGAAATGTATTTGATAAACTAACACAGTACTAAATAAAAAGTTTATGCAATGCGATTATTAATTAAAAGCTTTCCAATATGGTTAAATAAATTCACAATATAATTTTACTTGTAGTATTGGATTTCTATTTCTAACTTAAATTTCAGCTAGTTCTTCAACTAACATCTTTAATTAATTGTTTTATTCGACTTAATTAGTTGTAAGCAATTATATATAAGAAAATTATTAACATAATTTAAATTACCTTTTCTTCTATTGTTCCAGCAGTTATCAAACGATATATGGTAACATCTTTCTCTTGTCCAATGCGCCAAGCTCTTTCCCTAGCTTGGCTATCAGTGGCAGGATTCCAGTCTGGGTCGTATATGACAACTCTGTTAGCACCTGTAAGGTTAACACCCAGCCCACCGACCCTGGTTGTAAGCAGCATCACAAAATAGGTTATGTCCTAATCATCATAAAATTAAATAAATAATATAAACTTAGCTAGGACAAAACTGGAAATGTCATCTCAAATCATTTATATATTGAGGAAAACAAAAAAAAAAACTTGTACCACTACAACCCATGAAAGGTCTTGGGTTCAGTACCATCTAGGGAAGTACAGTTTCTTGATCAACGGTTGTGCAAGGAGATGATTTGGCCTAGATCATGCCCAACCGCCAGATTTTCTTATTAATTAATTATTTAATTCAGGGTACCCACTTTATAGAAGCTGGGTATGCCCAAGAAGGGTCTTTCGACCTCCGGGTCGATGAAACAGAATAAATAAATTATCTGCCATCAGCCGGACTCGAACCAGGGACCTTGAGCACTAGAAGTCAGCGCCACAGCAATGAGCTACCCCATCATTTATATATAATTAAAAAAAGAAATCTTTGTCTGATAGTAAACAAACCTAAGTATATTAATGATATGTTAAAAAAAAATATAATAAAATGATTTCTTAAATTTTGAGGTAAATAGTTTCACCTAAATTAAAAACTGTATAGATACTTCCTTAAAATCATGTTTACATTAATGTAGTAGAACTTGTTTCTCTAATACAGTTATGGTGATGTAGATTTGTTTTATAAATAAAAATAAAATACTTGTTATAGGTTTATTAAATCCTTTTCTTGTCATTTGAAATCAATCCAGATTGTGATATTCACTTAACTATAACAACCGATCTCTAATATACAGAAATTGGTCATTATTGATATAGGGATTAGCAAATTAACAAAAATAAAAAATATCAAATATTAAAAATGGGAGGATCGCTGACACCTTAACACATATTCATTATGATATAAAAGAAAAAATAATTCATATCTAAATTAATAAAAAAAAAACAGAAAAAGTTGTAGGTTTATAAAAAAGATATATTTCCTATTATCTAGAAAATATATCAGATTTATCAAATCATCTTAAAGGAAATATGTACTAAAACATTAGCTAGGGAGATAATTGGAATCCAGTGGCAATAATAATTATAAACATTTCATAAAAGTATATACAAAATTCAAGAAGTACCTTGTTAAATTTATCAATAAGAGGCTGCCTAGTGCTTATTGATGTTGTACCGTCAAGCCTCAAATACTTATAATTACTTCTCTTAATGAAATTTTCCATTATCATGAGCATCTGAAAAGAAAAAAAAAATTTCAAGTATATATATACACACGCACACACATACATATACATTAAAAAGTGTAAAATATGCAATGGCATAGCACAAATGCTATGGGATGATAAAAGATAATTATTTCTGTTTGTAAAGTCTAAAGTACTTCAGCATAACTGTTGACCTTAGTTGGAGGGCTAAGAAATTAAGTCTCCTGCAATCTCATTTCAGGGATCTGCTGTTTTAAATACATTTTTATATATATGAAAATGAATGTATGTCTGTATGTCCGTCTGTTTGTCCTTGGTGCATTTCTAAATCATACATCCGATCGCCATGAAACTTTGGTAAGTTGTTACGTACACTCCTGGGAAGGTTTCTGGCATATTACTTCTGTCTTACGATAATTTTATATATGTAATAAAAATAAAAATGTAAATGTTTTTTTGTTCGAAACCGCCAAAAAATGTGTCGCTATAAGCTGTAGCGCTAAAACGACTTTACCGATTTTAACGAAACTTGGCTAGTCTTTCCCTTGAAATTCTTTTTATCTATGTGTATAACATACTTTTCCGAAAACAAGCTGAAAAATGTTAAGATGAATTCAATATTTTATTTGACGATAACTAAAAAAGTACAGAATTCTTGATAATACCCACATTTATTTTAAAGATTCTTGATTTCCCGACAAAATAAAAAAAAACATCGAAATTGGACGGCTCGTTGCAGAGTTATAGAGTTTTAAACATTTACTGCTTTCTCTTCAGAAAAGGGCATTTCCTTTTGCTTCCTCACTATCGAATGTAGGCAAGCATTTTTTTTTATTGATTAATCGAAAATTTTATAGTTACTACAGTAACTGAAATTATCATTTGAAGAAGTTATATGATTCTCCTTATGTAGGTCAATACTATTATATGTTCTTTATATTAATTTTTATAAGTTCAACTCAGATTGTTTCTGATGATTATGAATGTTCAATTTGAATCATGAGAAAAAAATTATTAGAATTAGTTTAAATTGAAGCCATTTTACAGACAAATTTGTTTCTCAACTTTTTAAAAATGACAGATGTCCTTTGCTATTAATCTACTCATATGTGCTTTCTATTTTCTTTCTTTTTCATTTTGCCAGGCTAAGCCACAGCAGCGCGTGGCTGGGTAAAGCTAGTTTTTTATAAAGTTCATAGGAAGTATCATAAAAATAAAAGTATTTTCTCATTTTTCGTATCATTTCCTGTTTTTTTCCCATTCTATAGAACAGATGCTAGAATTGGCAAAAGTGGAGAACTCATCCTGCAAGTGGGCCTAATTGTCTTTTTAGCCGACCCCGAACAGATAGCCTCAATATATCAATAAAAATGATTTTTTATGAGCAGAAAGCTGTCCATCACAATCTAGACTGGTTTCTGGGTTACCATGCTGCGTTGGAAAGAAGAATTATACAAATATTTACATACAGATTCATATACAATGGCCCATCGAACCGCTGCTTTCGATAGATCTTTCATTATTCGTTCCTCTAACATATGAAACTCCATCCCCCCTATATCCATCGCTCCAATACCCTCTCTACGATTAAATCCCACCTATTCAATCACTTCCTTTCCATCCAGTCACCATAAAATTGTAAATAGATATTGCTATAAATATGTATATACATTATTAGTGTGTTTTCAATTACTTTGTTTTGTTTCTTTCATTTCTTTTTTAGTTTTTGATAATTGATAAAAGTTAGAATTTACTTTAGTTTTTTTTCTTTCGATCATATTTATCAATTTATGTGTTATAAATATTCAGAACGCAGTCTTTTTTAAAAAATTATTTTTATTTGTGCGAACGTTTCAACCCAAACATATGGGTCATCTTTAGGGCTGTTGGCACAAATAAAAAATTAATTTAAAAAAAAAAAAAGACAGTCGACTAGCTTCCTTCAATAATTTATCAGTTTAAATTATAAATATACTTTTATATCTCTAAGAATCAAGAGTCAACATTAATGTTCTTGTTTATTATTCTAAGGGGACTCGTCCCAGAATAAGTAAAGTATTATTGTTATTTAAAAAAATAACAAAGAAAATTAAAAAAAAAAGAACATAATACAATACCACAGCTGGGCGATATTTTTCTAATTTTAAAGGCCCGCAGCAATTTAGTCTAGATCACCCTGTGTGGCTATGAAAATGCAATGGCTAAAAATAAAAATATTACCAGATCACCATTGTTGACCTACATTACAGATCACCGCAACAGCTTGTGATCCTCAAAACAACAGTATGAAAACTAATTATGATTCCATAAGGATAAATTTATTAATCAAGAGAGAACAAGACAAATGACTAAAAGCTACAACAAACCTTTTTTCCTTGAGTAAAAATCAATACTCTGTGGCCCTGTTCCTTCCAAATCTTAAGTAAGGTCTCAATAACTATCATTTTACCAGCTCTTTCCCAATAACCAAAATGACTTTCTTTGGCTGGACTATCACCAGAACTCTAAAACAAACATGAATCCGATATTTATAATTATAAAATACAGTGATACCGCTATAATCAAATCAAAATAAAATTAATATCTTTGGTCAATGAGTGGTATCCTCAAATTATTAATAAAATTTAGTTTAATTTTATTAATAAACTAAATTTATAGCTTTACACTTGGCTGTAAGACGAATTTCATCTTGGGTATAAACAGCTTTACTTTTGAGTTAATTTTAGTCAATGTGAAATTGCATGGTTTTTATCTGATGAATTTTTGGAAGGTCACAAATCTTTGAAAGTACTCTATTGAGAAGAAAGATTTTACATGACCATTTATTCAACAGGGCTGTATAAATTTAAAAATAATTCTAACGGTACATGAATAATTTCATCTCACAATAGAATTATAAAAAACAATTCAAACAAAACAAGAAAAACACTGTACAATTTTATTATAGAATTATAAAAATAATTCTAAAGAAACATGAAAAATTTTATCTTACAATATGAAAATTCCTTTGAGGCCCTCCAGAGTACAAGTCAGGATGGTTACAAATTTTACGCAGATTGATAAGAGGAACAAAAATTTTAGCTTTTCCACGTAGAACCTCGTCAACATCAATATTTTCAATATAATTCTTGTAAAGTTCCCTCTGATCATGGGTCAACTTACAGAAGAGAACTTGTTCTTTCTTTTCAGGAAGATTTATGTGGCTACCAACATCATCCTTCATTCTCCTCAATAAATAGGGGGTGATTGTATCTTTCAGAATGGTAGCACATTTATGTGCAGTAACAACCTATAAGAATCAAACAATAAAAATTATAATCAGCACTATTGTCTAAAGAAATAAAATCTAAAATCACATAGATCATTATATCATTTGTTTATTACAAGAAGTCACCAAGTACATTTTTCATGGAGTTGAACACTTAAGAATGTTTTTGAGAACTTCGACCTTATTCATCGATAAAAAACACAATGAGTACAATAAAATCACACGAACCCTTGTACATATATGTGTGTGTTGTGATTTTATTAAATTAATATATCCATTTTTTTTTTATTTGAAAATTAATACATTCTGCCGCACTGAAGGGCATTAATATTAGGGCTACATTAAACATTCACACAATATATACATACAAATGATAACTAAAATAGAGATAAAAGAAAAAGAGTAATAAAGAAATAATGATTAAAATTTCTGTTCCTGTTTTGGGCAAGTCAAACGTTTTTTTATTATTAAAAATGAATTAACTAAATAAAAATATTGAATTATGATAAATTTTATGGATACTGAGGGCTTAACTGGTCCGTGGACTGTGAATTGCTAAGGAGCAAATAAATGACATTGATACATCTAATATTCTATTTAATAAATGAACATATTTAAAAATAAAAATATTAAATTTAAATTAATACTATCTTTTGATATGAAATACTACTTCTTGGTACTGTTTCTCTGGTAGCTCTGAACTTATACTGCCCCCTATTCTTTCTCTGCTAATGTGAATTCAATTGAAGATGATCCTTATCTGGTCTCTACTCCCTTAACGCTTGTGCACATTCTATAATTTTCCGGAACCGCCAGACCGATGCATTCTGGCCAACGAGAGGGAGACGATTAGGATGAGGCGGGGGAGTGGGGGTGTAGTTACAACAAAACACAATTATTTTATTTACAAAGAGAAATTTTTTAGTGATTTAAGGTTATAAAATGTCAATGACCTTTTGTAATAGACTAACGACTTAAAAAAAAAAATTACTATTCCTTCCTCACAAGATAAAGAAAGGGTGGGTACATTCGTGAGGCAAAAAACATTTTGTCCTCAGAATCAAAATTTACCACTTTTATACTACTTAGACAAGGAACAAATTGGGTTCCACATCTTCTGAAGTCAAACCCATGGGACAGGAATATCACCTAATACCATTAATTTAATTTCCACAGATTGTGCCGGTTTATAACTAGATGGTTGCACAAAAATTTCATTATATTCCATACACTATTTTAATTTATGAAAGCATAATCTATTTTCTTAGACAACTATATTTTAAAAATGGCTTGTTCGATTAGGCTTAAACTTTAAGGCAAGTCGAGGAAGCGAAAATATACCATCAGTAGGTTATAAGATATTTAGATAAGATTGTGGGATGAAACAAAAGGAATAAGACGCATGGAAGATAGTTTTCCAACCTCCGTCAAATCAGGTATTTTAAAATTGTTTCAATTGGGTTATTGCACTAGATAATTTAAATATTTACCTGTGTTTGTGATGCATTTGCATAACCTCCTTGAACAATCGGAACAGCTAAAGTTTCCATAAACATCTGTAATGTACCAAGCTTGTCAGGATAAACAAAATCGATTAAAGACCAAAGTTCTTGAAGGTTATTTTGAAGAGGAGATCCTGAAAGTATAATTCTATTTGGAGTATCAATTTCTTTAGCAGCAATAGTCACCTAAACAATAATACAAAATATGATAATAATCACTGATTAATAAATATAATTATAAACAAAGACAATTTAAAACAATAGAGGTGGTCCATTGAAATACATATTTCTAATTTCAGCACTACTATAACAATACTTTATAAAATATTAAATATAAATACAAATTTAAGTTAAATATAAAATTTCAATAATAATAATAGATTAATAAGTGAAAATAAATTTTATTTTTTTAAGATTATTAAAACTGTTACCTTAGCTTTTGGATTCCTAATTTTATGACCTTCATCAAGAATCACATAGTGCCATTGTCTTGAAACAATAGATTCTTGATGCTGAACAAGGCCAGAGTAGCTGGTAATAATCACTCCCCATGGATCGGAGTGAACTGAGTTGATTAATTTCTTTCTGTCTTTGCCTATTATAAAATTAATCATTAATCCTCATTTAAAATAGAACCATGGATTTAAAGATAAAATAAAAATAATTCCAAGAAGAATTTGATACTAAATATCAGTCAATTAAATGAGAATATAACATAGGTGGGAAACTTTTTTATCATTAGAGGCCGCAGTAACGTTAGGAAGTGGCAATGTATGCCGAAACAATTTTTTATATTTGACTGTTGTTATTTTTATTTATCACTAAATACACAAATCCATATAAATGTATTCAACTTATTCTATTAATTTTCAAATTTTCGTAACCTAAATAATTAATTTTAGGGCTGGATTAATAAATATTGTGCAAAAAAAAATTTGGAGACTGCAGGTTCAGCAACTTTGGAATATAATGTTGACAAATTAAATCAGTAATGGCAAATTTTTACATAAATTAAAATTTGATGGAATGGACCAATGATAAATATTTTTTTTTTTTTTTTATGGTCTTTAGTCATACACGTCTCTGGTCAGAGGTTAGCGATGATTTCGAAATAGGATAGTTGAAGGCCATGGAATAAACTATGTAATTTGTAGGTTGAGCATTTACTTCATCAAAATTTATTCTCTGAGAAAATAGAATATAAATTACTTTTTGTTTAATAAGAGAAGTTTCAAATAATGAAAAAATACTTTGTTAGCCCTTTGATTTCCAAAATGAATTTCTTTTATTTTTTACATTCAGAATGAAGGATAGTTGTTTCAGAAACCAAAAGAATAACTTTTTTTTTTATTTACCTGTTGAAATATAATGTTTGTGTGACATGATAAAACTCTTCCCTACCTTCAAACAAGAAATGCAAGCATTAACAAAATTTCTCCACATTCCTGGAACATTGACTGGAAAAATGTAATGTTGGATATGAATTTTTTTTTTGGTGAAATAATGTTTATTATGTAGGGGAAAGTTATGGGTTATTGTAACATTGGATATGACTTTTTTTGTTAGTAATGTTTATGATGTATGGGAATGTTAAGGGTTCAGTTTTAACTAACCAATTGGCACTATATAGACTAAATCACAACAAAAATGATTTCATTAGAAAAAAATAGTTATGAAAAAGAGACATCAAACATTGCTCCATTTATCAATTTAAATGACAATTTGTTACATATTTCTTGCTCACAAAATTTCAGTTTTAAAAGTAATTCATAGTCCATCTGCACAATTTTTGAAGGGTTTACAAATATTTTAAGGATGCACAGGCATCTCTATCTTGGGTAAGTATCTAACATCCTCAAGGGGTGGGAAACCTTATTGAGTTTACCTTCCCTGATATTTTCCTCACTCATTACTTTAACTGTTAACATTCTTGGTGTCATACAAATAAGTATGTCAAGATTTTTTTTTAAATGAATAATATCACAACGCTTCTTAATTAAAATCAATAAAAAGAAATTTTAATATTGATAGAATCATTGCTCTGGCCTTGCCCATCTATTTCATGTATTGTGTATGCTAAAAAAGGTTAAATAATAAAACAGCTAAATCCATAGTTGTCCCAGTATTTAAGAAGGTTATCCAGAGTGCAGCAACTACAGAGGGATCAGTCTCCTGTAAGTTATGTATAAGACCTTTGTAATGGCATTATATAACAGCAGGCTGATATCTTACAAGGAAAGCATAGTTAGTGAGTACCAAGCAGGTTTTTGTTGGAGAATGTCAACAATCGACCTTCGACCAACAATCGAAACTTTTATCCTTAAATAACTAGTTGAAAATAAGTATGGATTCAGTCAGCCACCTTCTGTGGATACTGTTTATGGATTTGGAGAAAGCTTATGAATTGGTAATTAGAAAGAAACTTCACAGTACAATGAAAGAAATGGCTTTACTAAGAAAACTTATTGGACTAACTAGGTGAACCAAGGAAAACAATATTTGCCAAATCCGGATGAGCAGAAAGAGTAGTGGCTTGAAGAGTAGTGAACGCAGAGCTGCGACAGGGTAAGGCATTGACAACATTACTATTTAATCTATCGCTTCACAGAATTGTTATCAGAACAAGACAGAACCATGGCAATACAATATTTATCAGAATGGTACAAATTCTAGTGTATACAGATGACATTGCAGTTATTGGGAGATCACTAGCTACTGTGGAGGAAGCCTTTGGCAAAATAGAAAGCAAAAAATACTAAAAATAAAACAAAACTGACGTACATTAGAAAAAAATGATGTTTCTCCAGAACAACAAGTTGGATTGGGAGAATATGCTTTAGAATTCAAAGACAATGAAATTTGGTGTCTGCACCAAAATGCGGAATTCTGTGGTGAATACAAAGATTTGAGTATCTCTAACTTGGCCAGGCTGCAGATGCTAAAATGGATAGTTCATGTCACAAATATTGAAGACTGCAAGTGCCCTCTGAAAGCTTATAGGAACATGCCAGGTCCATATCACGCTGGAAGGATTGTGTCCTCATAGATATGAGACAGGCAGGAATGAGCACAGTACTGTAGATACAGTCTGAGACAAAATGATTGAGAAGGCCAAGGACCACTTCATGTTTCTGTTAGGCCATAAGAGAAAGAAAGATAAAAATATATAAATTAATTATTACATAGAAATACTTTTATGTTAGCCATAAAGAAAAAAAACTACATATAATGTAATTTATTTTAATGTAAGCTAGGGTGCTGCTAATGAAAAGTTAGTGAAGTATTTAGAAAGGAAAATGTTCTGTATTTAAAAAAAAAATATAAATACCCAAGTTAATTACTTCATTGTTAAATTTGTTGAAACATATTTTAAAAAAAAATTAGTATATAAACATAGTTTATCCCTAAATATGTAAGATATCATTTTTCATTTTAATAATATGGTAAATTTAAATATCTGACCTCCGTATGTCCCTGATTCATGTAAGATTGCAACCCGAAGAGGAGGGTACCATTTATGAAATTCTCTAACCCATTGATGCATGACAGTTGTAGGACAAACAATCAGTGTTGGGCCAAGACCAGTATACCTGTAATTAAAGTCAATAAAATTACTAAATATATGAAAAAAAGAATAAACTAAATTTTAACATAACATCAAACAACACAGAAAAGATAAAAAAATTATTCTAATTATTAAATAAATTATCTGGACACTTTGAATTTTGTAGTTATTAAACAAAAAATACCTTGTATAACGATCAATTCTCTCTGATCTATCTAAAGCAGCAAGAAAAGCAATCATCTGTATTGTTTTACCAAGACCCATTTCATCACCAAGAATGCCTCCACACTGCTGTCGATTCAAACTCCAAAACCATTTGACTGCATCTTTTTGATACCTGGAGAAGTTGATGATGAAATAAAATGTTCAATGCGACAGAGTTCAATTTGTGACATAAATGGCAATCAATTACTGTAATGTATACATCTTAGAATCATTTGTTTTAATTTTAATTATCTCTACAATAGAATAAATATAACTTTTAATTTACCTCAGTTAAATAAACTAATAAAATTTCATGTTAGCCACTAAGAAAGTATAATTGGGAATATAAATTTTCTCTGAATAAAAAATTTAGTGGACTTTTTCAAAATGAGTACACATGCCACCAAAGTTTATCATACCATAACCAAACTATATAATACTGTGAAGTCGAGAAACATCCATCTCTACTTGTGTTGATTATATCCAATACCATTGGTTTATTGCAAAAAGTCATTAAGTGACATTTCATAATCTCAAATAATTAAGAACTCAATGAATTTTCCCTTTACAAAATCAGAAAATAGAGCACGAAGTTTAACTAAATATTGTGAAGGGTTTGTGACATTTTCATGCACTTAAGGTGTTCTCATATGGATACATGAGATACAAAATTCACAACAAACTTTAAAGTTAACCTATATAAAAAATGCACTTAGTGTCAACTGCCTTACCTTTATATAGCAATAATGAATGACTAATCAATTTAAGTATTTCCTTATTGTCAATCTTTTCTATACATTTAGGATTTGATTACAAATCAGTCCCAATACTATACGTCTGTGATCATACATTGTTGGAGGAATTTAAATGCACTCTAATGTTATTAATAGATTAAAAAAATACTTTGAACAGTCTACATATACACTAAAATTATTAGTAAGATATCTTACTCATACAACTTGTCCCATATATCTCGTGGAATAATAAAATCTTCATCTATTTCAACTGTACCCATTTCATACTTATTAATTCGATTAATCTTTAACCTTTTGCAATAAACTTCTGTATCTCCATCATCTGCTTCTTTCTTGCCTATAACAAAAAAAATGAATACAAAGTAAATAACAGAGATATTTATTTAATATTCCACAATATCTTTCAATTTATATAGAACATACTTTTCCTTTTAGATACCTCTTCTTCAGCACTTTCCCAATCGGAATCGCTACTTAAATTATTATCATTGACTGATGCTTTTTTCTTTCTTGGGCCATTCCCTAACTTTGGCTTCTTTGAAGGAGACAATTCAAATTCTGCAATAGAAAACAATTTATATTTTATAAGGTTATTATTATTATTTTTTTGAGAAAGTTTTAAAACATTTATTATTATAATTTAAACATTTGTTACATAATATAAGTTTAATTATATATTTTCAGTCAGTTGAAAGTTAAGATATAGTTAATTATAGCTCAAAATAATTTAATTATACTATTAGACCAAAAGGGATCTCAATTACCAACCTCTTGTACATATATTTAGGAGCAAAACTTATCACTACTCGGGGAGCGGGGTAGCTCAGTGGTAGGGCATTACGTTTCCAATGCTCGAGTTCCCAGATTCGAATCCCGGCTCATGGCAAAAAAATAAAAATTATTCATTCTGTTTCATTGATCATGGGGCGACCCTGGGGTAGGGATATGCTCCTGGAGCACACCCAGCCTATACAAAGTGGGTACCATTAATTAAATAATTGATTAAGGGGGAAAACTTGGTGGTTGAGCGTGATCCTGACCCTGTAATTCCCTCCCTGCACAACCGTTGGTCTTGAAACAATACTTTTCCTAAATAGTACTGAACCCAAGACCCTTGATGGGTTGCACTGATACAGATTCAGGTTTATCACTACGCTGTAGAGACAGCTTCCATTTATTAAATCTTTGAAAGATTTGAAGAAAAATTTAACAAATTATCAATAATTTTAACAACTGCTATCAATAAAATTGTATAAGTTAAATTTCATACTAGTAATAAAACACATTATAGCAAGCGCCAACAACATAGGACTTGTGGAAGTAATAATGAAAGAACAACACCTGAGATGGTTTGGATACAGATCCTCGAATGTCAGAAAATTGTATAGCCAGAGAACCTAAGTAAGATTTAGGTTGAAGGATTAAAAAACATTGATGGATAAGCTCTACAATAGAAAAGAGGGAAAGAACTGATGCATTCTCTGGTGCATTAAAAGTCACTTCTCAATCCATTATGATAAAAGTGGAAAGAACAAGAAGAAAATAGATGTTTTAGCTCCTCTAAAAATATACCTATGTTTTACCAATCATTATAAATACATGTTTTTTATCAAGAAAATAAAAATACATTTAAAGGAATAAATAAAAAGATAAAAAGACATCTAAATTCATAGTAATTGCCTCGAGAATTAAAGATTGCTGGATGTGTGCCATGGATCGACAAATACAACCAAAACACATTCAACCCTAGGAAATTAATCAGGGGATAAATTAGGCAATTAAAAAACATACATAACTCGATTTCAATGCCAGAACAGTTTGTGATCCTTCTCCCACTTATGGTGCCCTCGGACTCCATGGAGGGAAAACTGTAAGAAATGGAATTGGACAACGCCTTATTGACTTCTGCATAGACAATGATCTACTGGTGGGAAATTCCTTCTTTCCCCACAGAGTAATAAACAAAATAACTTTCTCGAGCCTGGAAAGAAACAGTATTACAGACAATTTCGTATATGACCGTGCCATAAGAAACTATTTTTCCGATATAAAAGTCATAAGAGGCGCTGAAATTGGCAGCGATCATCTGCTGCTAATAGCCGATACCAAAATTCCACATAAACGGCCAATTAAACAAAAGAGCTACCAGGCAGTCAATATAAGAGCTCTAGATGATCCAGAAAAGAGAACCTCCTATACCGAAAAACTGGAAGGAAAATTAAGAACCATGAGGGAGAGAGGGTGATGTAGAATAACAGTGGAACTGCTTAAAATCATGCATCTCGGAAACTGCAAGGAAAGTTTGCGGCTTGCGCAAAATATCTAATAAACAAAAGCACACAGAGTGGTGGAATGAGGAAGTACAATGTTTAGTTCAATCAAAGAAGAAAGCGTGGAAAGCTTATATTCAAGAGAAAACAACCGGAAAACTAGACGAATACCACCAAGCCAGAAATCAATGCAAAATAGCAGTCCGGCAAGCGAAAAGAGAGTCATGGGAAAGAGTTGGAAAAAGTCTCGATGAAGATCACCGGGAAAGTATTAAGAAGTTCTGGCATAAAGTAAAGCTATTAAGATGAAAAATAAGTAAGGCAGTAAGAAATGTCAAAGACTCTACTGGCAGCATGGTCACTGAAGAAACGAAAATTCTTGAACGGTGGAAGGAGTTCTATCAGGGACATTTCTCAGAAGGAGGACACACTGATCCAGAAGAACATCTGGTAGAAAATAATACTCTGGAAAGTCAAGAGTCATTGAGGAAGACGATATAGAATATGGCATCCAAAAAATTAAAATATGTTAAGCAGCGGGAAGGGATAGCATAGCCCCTGAATTAATAAAATTTGGAGGACAGGAATTAATTAAATTTCTTCAACAATTCCTCCAAAAAGTATGGGATACAAAGATAGTCCCAAGAGATTGGGAGTTAAGTGTAATTGTCCCTATTCATAAGAAGGGCAGCAGCGGAATATTATGGTCCAAAGCCTACTATTTGCCGATGACATCGTTCTGATTACGGACACGAAAGACAAGCCGCAGCAGGCCCTTGTAGAATGGCAGGAAGAACTCCTCCGCAAAAGTATGATTATCAATAGCTCCAAAAGCAAAGTCCTAGTCATATCAAGAGAGGAACAAGAAGACGTCCAGCTGATCTGTAACAGGCAGGTACTTGAAGTTGTGCTAGAATTCACCTATTTGGGTACAATTATCAGCAACAAGGGGAAGATTGACCCAGAAGTAGCGAATAGGATATCCAAAGCCAATCAGGTATATTACCCTATCAGCAACACTATAGTAGGGCACAGGGAAGTTGGCAAGGAAACAAAAAGGCACATATACAAGTCGGTATACCTCCCAACCCTAACGTATGGAAGCGAAAGCTGGATTATGCTGGACAAGCAGGTTAGCCGTGTGACAGCAGCCGAGATGAAGTTTCTGCGGAGAGCTGCTGGATAGACCAGGAGAGACCGCCTCAGAAATGATCGCATAAGGGAAGACCTGGAGGTGGTGGAGCTAAGGACTTTACTGGAAAACCGACAGTTGAAGTGATTTGGCCATGTTTGTCGGATGGAGAAGGAGAGAGATCCGCGGAAGATTCTGAAAGCTCGACCCACTGGGATGAGGCCGAGGGGCCGCCCTAGAGCTTCCTATCAGGGGTATATACAGGGGATTGGAGAGAAGAGAGGCAAAACCCTCCAGGAAATGAGGCGGCTTGGTAGGGACCGAGAGGCATGGCTGCATTGGATTGAGGCTCCTCGACGCTAGTAATGGCAGGAAGAGGAAGGTAAAGAAGAAGAAGACTTATTTGGTAGGTCTGCAACATGGTCAATATAAATAAGTCTGTTGAGGGAGTTATTGGTGTCCAGAGCGAGACATTAGGCGCCACCGCCCACAAAATACCAAATCAACCAGCAGCCTTTTTTCACATGTTTAAATAGAAAGAGATTTATAAACAATTAAACGGAGGCAAGCTTGAAATTCAGTCATCTACTTGTAATTATATAAGTATTTTGGTAGGAAATACACAGAAATATTTTTAAGTTAATTGGCAAAGAAAAGTAAATTATTATTCTCATCAAGATTATAGTAAATAAATAAACAAATGTTCTAGATAGAATTATAGATAATAATAATAAATAAATAAATACCAAAAGAAGATACGGAGTCATCTGAAGGTATATACTCAGACCCTGATGTATCCAAATAGATGTAATTCATTTCTCCAGGTTGAGCAGCTGGGCTATCAACTTTTGGTTTCCCTGATTTGCAACCAAGTTTTTCATTTTTCTTCTTTTTCCTTTTTGTTGGACCTAGAAAATGGCTTTTTAGTTCTTTCTTCTTACTTTTAGTGTTTAGCTTTGGAGCTTTTTTCTCAGAGGTTGAAGGGAGCTTATTCAATTCTATATTCTTTTTCTTAGGCAATACTTTTCTAGACTCCTGTAACTTAGCTTGAGTTCGTAAATATTCCTCAATTTTTGAAACAGGGTCAGCAGCATTACTAAAAAAATAAAAGAAAAAAATGTCTACAAATATCATAAATTTACATTAGTAATTCTATAGTTTAATGTTTTTGTCATATTTTTATATGTTTGATGCCATTTTATTATGTTTCTTATTTAATAGGTTTTAGACCACAGGTCACTAATAAAATACATTTTATGGTATTTCTTTATTTGCCAACGCTTCGGTTTTTTGAGCCATTTTCAAGAATCTGTACATTTTTTAATTTATTTACTTATCTTTAAAATATTTCATTTTTTAAACTTTCTGTAACATATATTATATATTATTATTATATTTAAAACTTATTATATAATATAATAAATTTTGATAACTTTGTTTTAAAATTAATGCAAATTACCTACCTCACTTTCTGTCATTTAGAGAACCACACTCATGAAAAAATACTACCTGATTTTGAATCTCTGGACTGGAATGAATTATATTCCTGCTTTTCCATTGATTCCATGGTTGATATTCTTACATCCAATGTTCTCAATATCTATGCCTCTATAAAAACCTCTACCTTTCGTCATCGGCCTGCACCCTGGATGTGCCAAGAAATTAAAGATCTACAGAAGAGAGGCAATGCTGCCCATAGATGGTTTTGACATACTAGACTTGCAGATAACTTCCAAGCGTTTAGGGTGCTGCGAAACTTGACACAATTAAGAATCCGACGAGCGAAATCGTCTTATTTCCAAGAAATCCTTTCACCAGATCCTAATATCAAAACTAAATGGTCACTTCTTCGCAAACTTTCCCAAGGTGAACTAAATCCTTTACCTCACTAGTCTTTCCAGTATCATCTGGTGATTTAACTCATTTTAAATAAGTATAATAAATAAATTTTATATCTGCTACCTCTACCTCTTCCCTCCGGTTTCTCTCCTAGGATCATTAATCATTTAGCGATGATGATTTTTTTCTTTTCTTACATTTCTTCCACAGACCTTTTATCAGTGCTAATGAAATCAAGCAATGGACCAGATGACATTCCCATAATAATACAATGCATTCCCGAAATTCTCCTGGTTCTTCTCTTCATAAATAATTGTCCCTCTAGAACTCAATGTTTCCTACATCATGGACAAAAGCCACTGTCCTTCCTCTAAATAAAATCTCAAACCCAAATTTTACAGCAAATTTCCATCCAATCTCTCAAAACCTCTGGAAAGACAAGTGCAATCTCAACTCTCCAACTTTCTAGAAGAATCCAACTAACTTGATCCTCTGCAATCAGGTTTCCTCCCTGGCTACTCCATGCAAACAACCCCAATTAAAATTATTAGTGATGTCCAAGCTGCTATTAATGAAAAACATTTAACTGTCCTAATCCTCCTTGACTTCTCAAAAGCTTTTGGCTCTATTAATCATTCAATCCTCTTTTCAAAAGTAAAATCATTATTCTTCTCCAACAGTTCTATCTCTTGATTTCAATCTTTCCTATCTTAACGTTCCCAAGCAGTTTCCATCCCTAATCAACCACTTTCCTCCTATCTTTCTCTTTTCTCAGGGTTCTAGCATATCTCCTCTTCTTTTTAGCACCTGTATAAACGATCTTCCTAAATCAATCCTTAATAGTTCCCATCACCTTTATGCCGACGATTTCCAAATATATTTATCATTCTCTTCTACAGAGTTATTTGTAGCATTTACCAAGATTCAAGAAGACCTAGATTGAATCAGTGCCTGGGCAAATTTAAATGAATTAAGGTTAAATGCTGCAAGAACTCAAGACCACTGTCATTGTTTCCAAGCCCCTTCTCCGATCCAATTCCAATTTGTCCACACTATATCTAAATGACCAATTTACTTCTACTTCTCCATTAAAAATCTATGATTTTTCATTGATCAAACCCTCTCCTAGAATAACCACCTATCCCACATTGCTTGGAGAACAATTTCCACTCTCAAATTATTCCATCGCTTCTGCTATCTCCTACCAGAACCTACCCGTAGACTCTTAGTTTCTTCCCTCATTTTTCCCCACTTTTACTATGGCTATGTGGTGTAATGGGGTCTCTCGGTGACCGATTAATGAGACTTGTTTTGTCAGTGAGACATCGAGACATTCCCGTGTCTCCCACCACTACGCTGAGTTAGGGTAGCTTTTATCTACCTTACGTTGACAATATTTCCTGGGCATAATCCTTTATCAGATTATCAGCAGCCGTCGTTTTTCCTATGCCTACGATCTTCTTCAATTCAAGTCCTCTGCCCTCTCTCTTATCACAAGATCCCGATCTTTATACACCTTTTCACAGATCTGTCTCTTTCCAAAATTTCTTTGTTGAAGTATATTCACATTTGCATATATTATATATTACACTACAAAAATTGTTACCATCTATTTACTTCAGTTTAGGATCTTGTAACTTAGTTTACTCCGTTTATAATTTTAATAAGCTTATTCACATTGTTTCTAATTTTTTGTTTAAATATTATGTAACTTCCACAATTCTTTATCTTTTTGTATCTTGTCCGTTCTAGCCCTGAAGAAGAGCTGCAAAGTCGGGTTGAAACTTTGGCTTGTAATAAAATAGTTTTACCACTATTTAGCCTATTTATGACCGCCACCCCGGACCATCTCCTTCCATTGTAATGCAACGGTCAAATATTAAATATTCAATATATACATGTATGTTTGTGTATGTATGTATATATATATTTTTTTTTTTTTTCATGCCATGTCGATTCTATTCTACAAGAATTTTCGCTCTTAAACTTTATTTATTTATTTTATTATTTTTGTTATGTATGTTTTAATTTTTACTATGATATAATACATACATTTTTATTTCTTTATCTCTTACTTTTTACTTTATCTATTTTAATTGGTGCTCATCTATCAGAGGAATACATTTTTCATTTACTGTTTTCCCTCCTATCTTTTTTATTTCTTTAGTATGATTTTTTATTTTTTTAAAGCTAAGTAGCAATTATTTTGTTTCATTTATTATTAGTATTATATCTAGTTCTAAGAATTTTGTAAATAATTTCATTGCTTGATTTTCCACATATTATTAGTACATGAGAAGGAGTTGGTCAGGGGTGCGGTCAAATAAATACTATAAACTAGAATAGTATTTTATTAGCTAAGCCGACGTTTCGACCCACTTTATAGGTCTTCATCAGGGCGTGGTATCAGGCACTCCAGAAAGCAGTTGGTAGATAGGTAGTCGAGAGTCTAGTACTATTATTATTAGTAAACTTGAGTTGTATTATGTCTCTATTAATTAATTTAATAGTTCTGGCCAGAAGTAATTCCTTTTGTTTTTGTTTCATTGTGTTATTCTTAACCTGTTAACCGGGCGTGACATGTAAATACGTCAAACGTAAACAATTCTATTTGTTTGAAAATTTCTATTTACTTTGTGCTTTATATTTTATATATGATAATATAAAGCACTTTATGTTATAATATATGATAAAATAAACGAATAAATATAAATAAATAAACAAAAAAATATATTTCATAGTCTTTCCATTTATTTTAAGCATAAATAAAAGAAAATAATAATATGAAATTATGTCCTCTGGGCATGAAGTACAGAGTTAAAGAGTTCACAATCATTATATGCTGCATAATTAAAAAGGTAATTTCTCGGTTAAAAGGTTAAGGGTCTTTGTCCCAGGATAAAGTTATTTTTATATTTCTATCATGCACCATTTCATAAAAATTGTTCTTTTTTAATATACTTAATTTTTTTATATATAATTTTTAGTATTTACAATGAAATTTTCTAAAAAAAGCATGGATCACCGCACAAATTATATTGGGTGGATTCATAAGTTCGTTCAGTTTTTGAAGGGTGAAATAAAACCATTTTTTTTTCATACATAGAATAAATTTTATTCAATAATGTATTTGTCGTTTTTATTGACGACCTTTAGCCATCTTTCTAACAATTTCATTATTCCGCTCTCATATAACATCTGGGGCATAATTTAAAATCAAAATTTATTATATTATATACTAAGTTTTATTCAGAATTTCACTCCTTCCGGTATGTTATAAAATATTCACTTCAATCTTAACCAGTCGAATCACGGAATACGCCGAGGAAAGTATCGGAGACTACCAATGCGGATTTAGACGGAATCGTTCGACTATTGATCAAATATTTTCTTTACGGCAAATATTAGAGAAAAAATTGGAGTATAACAGTATTGTTCACCAGCTGTATATAGATTTTAAAAAGGCTTACGATTCTATTGACCGCCAGAAACTGTATAATATTCTAATTGAGCAGGGGATTCCAAAAAAACTAGTAAATCTAGTCAGGATGTGCTTGACGGAGACACTCAATAAAGTTAGAATCGGTAATAATTTGTCCGAAAAATTTGAGGTTCGTTCGGGTTTAAAACAGGGGGATTCACTTTCGCCTGTCCTGTTCAATTTGGCATTAGAAAATGCCATTAGGGAGGTAATGCGAACCGAGAAAGGGTTGGATCTGGGCGGGACAACATCCGTGCTGGGCTATGCTGATGATCTGGTACTGTTAAGCGAAGACGTTGAAACTATAAAACTAAATACGACAACGTTAATGAAAGCCGGGAAAGAACTAGGACTCGAAATAAACGTGGATAAAACAAAATATATGGTTAGCTGCAAAAATGGCGATACTACTGGTGACATCGATATAGATGGTAATATGTTTGAACAGGTAGATAAATTTAGGTATCTAGGTTCAACGATAACTAGAAAAAACGAAATTGAAGAAGAGATTAAGGTTAGACTGAAGGCGGGAAATGCTTGTTATTTTTCTGTGACAAAACTACTTAGTTCGCGCCTCTTGTCCCGGAACTTAAAAATTAGAATCTATAAAACAATTATCTTGCCTACAGTTCTTTATGGATGCGAAACTTGGCCGCTTACATTAAGGGATGAGCAGCATCTTAAGGTTTTTGAAAATAAAGTATTGCATAGAATATTCGGACCGAAGAAGGATGAGTTAACCGGAGAGTTCAGACGGCTACACAACGCCGAATTGCGTGAGCTGTATCCGGGTGATATAATTGATGTAATTTCATCGCGGCGAATCAAATGGGCTTGTAAAGTTGTTGGGCTTAGTAACGAGAGAATTCCTAAAAGGTTAATGTTTGCTGTGCCGAATGGTAAGCGTCCGAGGGGTAGACCGAAGCGAAGGTGGGAAGATTGCATTAAAGCCGATCTGAAGGGACTGGGTTTGGACGGCGAACGGTGGAGGGAGGTGTGTAACAAGCGATTGGTGGTGTCGGCATCGAACCTTCGGGTTCGCTAAGCCTTATTATTATTATTATTATTATTATATACTAAGTTTTAATTATAATAATAATCCCATTTGACAAATGTATCACTGCAACAATAATAATATAGAATAAGGCCAATATATGTTACAGAAAGTTTAAAAATTAAAATATTTTAATAATAAGTAGTTAAATTAAAAAAAATGAAATTATTTTTTAAAGATTCTGGAAAATGGCTCAAGAAGCCGAATTGTTGGCAAACTAAGAAATACACATACAAGCCTAAACATCTATTAAAAATAAAAATATTCTATAATTTATATTATAATTTTGAAGAAAATCTAAAGGTTAGGTCTACCATATTATTAAAATTAAAATATTTGCATAATAACTCAACTGTTTTGAAAAAAATTTTCACGATCGCAATACTTGCCATTACTATATATTACATATATACGTTAAGTGAAAGTAAAAAGATGTCAGAATAATTTTATTAATGGATTGATATATAATTTTTGTGTTCAGGATGTTTTGAATAATTATGGGGACACGACCTTGAAACATGAATAGATTACCTGAGAAAAAAGAAATAACAAATATATCTTATTTGCTAAAGCTAATAAATATTCTTTTTGGATAACATAAATAAATTCCATGTTCATGTATGTAGATAAATAATTATATCATTATTCCAGATAAATATCTGCCTTTTATAATCTAGTAATTAACATGTTACATATAAAATAACAAATAAAAATAATTGTAATGGTATGTAAAAACAATGGAACTCTATAAATAATGGAAAGGTTTTTGGAGAAAGTAATGAATCGTTAGCTGAAATTTGGATGTTGGGAATTTCGAATTGTGAATCCTTCATTCAGAAGATATATAGATTGAAATGTGAATCATTTGACCAAAGCAAGAAATAAACACAAAGTGAAAACAGAAATTTAATAATCGCATGATTACACTGATTAATTTTCCTGTATATTCATAAAACCTAATTTATGGCAATTCAAATTATAAATATTTTCTTTTATTTATTTTATTTCAATTTGTCTCCTTATTTCTCATTTTAAAAAGGAACTATCCTAGATGCTTTATCTTGATACTTTACTCCATATAATCAGAATAATACTGTATGATGCAACAAGATTAGTTCATTGAGAAAGTAAATATCAAATCTACCTTTTAACCTACCTTTTGTTCTGTTTTGTAAATTTATTAGATAATGTTGATAACTGTTTTCCTTTAGGAGGCTGTTCATCATCATCATCAGGATCCACATTCTCTAATTCGTTAGTAATAAGGTCTTCACTTTTTAAAAAATGATCAGAATCTCCTGTTAATGCTTTTCCAACTTGTTGAATCACACCTTTTTCAAAAGTAGATTGATCAAATACGGAAATTTCAAGTGATTGAAGTTCAAATGCCTAGAAAAATATTTACATCCAGATGATTTCGTTAAAACCACAAATATAATAAACTTCAAGCTTAAGTTAGAGGTATTACCTGCTTATCTTTCTCTATGCTTTCGATAGCAGATATGTCAACGTTGAATTTTGAACTGGACTTCTCGGTAATCTCATTTTCCAAATCATTTTCAAGTTCCATTGGTTCCATGATGACAATAACTTCAAAATAGACAGATATTTAAAAAATATCACGTTTGTAAACAAACTGGTGCACGAGACCACGGGAAGGTTACTATAAGCTGTCAGTTTGCTGACAATGACAGGAAACCTTCTTGACATTCAGCACCAAATTAATCAAAAGTATTTTAATATTTAAATTGTATTAATATAGTTCGAATTTCGAAAACAATAATAATTTAAGGATAGTTTTTATTTAGCATCAAACTTATTTTTTTTTAGATTACTTGTTTATGATAAATATTTCAATCTATCTCAATTAAGGACACTTGCAAAAGCGTTCAGAGAGCACATTCACACCATATTTACAGAATCATAAATAAATAAGGTAATAACAAAATAAATATACTGCGAAATAATAACAAAACAAAATATCATTATGAGGGAAGAAAATAAAAATAAAAATTAAATAGAATAAAATGTTATTTAAAAAAAAATAAACGCCTTAGACGCAGACAGGGAAACTCCAAACCAGACTTATCTCCTCACTTGTGGGGTGAAAAGCGAGGCTTCGGGAGATCCCTGCGCTTCTTCCTCAACCACTTCTCTGGTATGAAAAGCCAGCGAAGGCTGAGTAAGGGCGCAACAACCACAGACACTCATGACTTGAGTGGAAAATCTGGCCATTGCCAGAACTCCAATATATATATATATATATATATATATATATATATATATATATATATATATATAATATATATATATATATATATATATATATATATATATATATGTATGTGTTACAAAAGGTCACGGGGCCACTGACATTTTAACCTGCAAGGTGGTTCGTAGCCATGGATGGTGCTAGATTGGGACTGTGGTACGGGATTAGGGTGATGGGAAAGGTTCTGATGAAATTTGGAAAATTTTTCTGGGATAAGATCAAGAATAAATGTTATATTAAGGTCATTATGCAGGGTTTTATTAGTGACATTGAAGGGAGCATCGACTATTGTACTGAGGCATGTATTATGGATTGTACGACTTTTAGTTAATAAACCATTATTTTACATTGCAGAGTTTACTAAAACAGAATTAAGAGATTTGCATTGTCTGTCACAGAAAGATCAAACGTTGTCACACTAATTGTAAGTGGATACTGCTGGAATATCGCAAATGGAAAATTTGTCAAATTATTCAGTAATTTAATTTTCTAAGAAGTTTACATTTGGTAAGAAAATTTCATTTAATTTCTCTGAAAACACATGATATACGTTAAATAATGTTAGTTTTTAGAAGTTATTGGTTACATTTTTATTTAAATTTATTTATAATTAAATAAAAGAGAAAAAAGAAAAAATATGTATCCAGGTTGAAAATGAATATAAGGAAATAATAGCCAGAAGGTATACTTATAATATATCGTTGGAAAGCCGAGAATTTAAAAAAAAAAATCAATATATAATATAGAAAGTTGTAGAAGGTAACGAAAAGTTACGAAAAAAATATAAATAATAATTTCTAAAAACTAACATTATTTAACGTAAATCATGTGTTTTGAAGGAATTTAAATGAAATTTTCTTACTCAATGTAAACTTTAAAAAAAATTAAATTAGTGAATAATTTGATGAATTTTTCCTGCCATATCCCAAACAGTATCCACTTACAAGCAGTGAGACAACTTTTGACCTGCCTATGACAGACAATGCAAATCTCTTAATTCCGTTTTAGTAAACTTTGCAATGTAAAATAACAGTTTAATAACTAATAGTCGTACTATCCATAATCAACGGATCTTACAATCCATAATCAACTGATCTTTTGTTATTTTAGATTTGTTAGCTGTAATCTTTTAGCTTTAGCTTGGTTAAAAATACAATTCAAGAATTTTATAATAGCCCAACATGACCTAAAAATAATTTCTATTCAAAGTAGCGGATTAAGTGAAAGTTGTGTGTTGCGCGCACTAGATTTTTTTATCATGTTCTTCTTCCAATTTTTCTAAAACAGACACTTGGAAAGCTATACTCAAATATACAATTCAACAAAAAAAAAACAACGCTGTTTAGATTCAAGACACGGTTAAAATGTTTAAACGCCGTATACTATATCTGAAAATAGTTTCAGTTTCACTTTAGTCACGAAGTAAAAGTCAGTCTTCCAAGTCTTACAGGGTCTGGTCCTTGCATCATTCAAATAAGGCGGTCTTGGTCTTGGTCTTGGCCTTGCAAAAAAGCTTGACCAAGACCAAGATTGCCAGACAGAGGCCAATTTTGAGCAACTGGAAAGGGGATTGGAAATATGATGGGATTTTTTGGTGTACTTCCAAGGTGGCTAATTCTTGTTTTAATTTTTACAGTAATGATTGGAGGAGTGGCGGTCGGCGGGATGTATGGTACGTTGCCATAATAATCTGGCACGGTGTTTTATACGGATTAGGTCAAGGAGGCGTTGAGGTAAATTTGGTTTCTTAAGGATTTTTGAGAAATGATCAAGAGAGGAAGCCGTCCAGACTGCTTTCTGGATATTAGTGGTAAAGGAATGAACGGCATTGTCCAGGTTTTCGGGGGTTTTCAGGGTTACTCTGAGGTCAATTTTATCGGAAAGGATTTTACAAAAGAGTTTTCAGTTAACTGGGCCTATGATGAAGGATGGTGGGAAGAGGGTTTAGGAATAGGAGCTAGTGATACTTGGAGTGTGTCTGGCTGTGGTCTGAGGGAAATTCATCAAGATGTACAAGGGAATGGTTGAGGGTACCTAGACCATTGTGGATAAATTAATCGAGGATATCGGGATTATTGTTAGGATCGGTGGACCAGTAGGTAGGGGAATCGGATAGAATGAGGGTAAAACTTTGAGAATTGAGTGCAGATAGCAATGTTCGATTACGAGCATTTGTGGTTCTTGAATCCCATTAAGCTTATTTTTAAATTATATTTTAAGAAGCTAAAATTTTTTGTAAAGACAAGAATAAAACAGGAGAGACTAAAAATGAAAGGAAGTTTTGTATTATTGCTTAAAAATATAGGAATATCATGAAAATACTCTTTGGGGATTTAATATGAAAATAGTTTGAAAAAGTTCTCTCCTTTGTAGGTTCTATGAAACCAAGATATTTGTAAATTGGAAGAACTGGAAATTCTATGGATTGGCCATATTTTATTAAAATTTATTATACAACTTCAATTGAATACACACATTTTTTTTAAAGTAAAACTTCTTTAGGAACGTTTTGTATTTTTTTTGTGGAGAGTGAATTAGATTGACCGCCAGATTTCCGATGACTAACTCTCGAGTAAAGTCGTCTGGAGTCGTCTAATTGAAGTATTTTTGCATATAGATTAAATTATCTCAGAAAAACAAAAATCGGACCTGCATTTTGGAAAAGTATACACTTCTCGAGTTATTCTGAAATCTAATTTTTACCACCCCACGTAACTTTTGTTCAGCTTCTTTTCGTTGAAGTCCATCCAAGTTTCATTGAAATAAGTAGATTCATTTAGGCGCTACATTCTATACCAACGCAGATTTTTCGCCAGTCATCTAGAAATTAAAGGGAATATAGTAATGTCGAGGTAGGGGGTTCATCCTCGGGTGGCCTCTGACTTCTATTCGGTTAAATCTTCGGACAATTGCAATGGTTTACTATTCAAAATAACAAACCAAAATTGTATTTATATTTTTTCTTATTCTCCATTTTAGTTTTCAACAATAACAATATAAGTATATGTAATATACATATATATCTTGCTTTATCCTTACATAAAAATTGTATTTCCTAATTAATGTATTTAGAAATAGAAATAGAAATAGAAAAATCATCTTTATTCTGGGACTAGGTCCCTTTAGAATAACAGTATTGTTCATATATATTAACTATAAATCTGGTCAAAAGACTTATTACAATGAATAATAACAAAATACATGTAATACATTAAGTATTAATTAAGCTCTTAGGATAAATTAACGAGGACAGTTGGGTGATAGGGGTTCAGTACTACAATATTGGAGCTAAAATGATTGCATAATAATCACTGAATGAAATTAGAAAGGAAAGTAAAATCTATTTTATAGGTAAAGCATTGTAGTGATGGAATATAAAAATTAAAAAAAATAATAATAACTGTTAATATGTAGGGAAAGAAATTGTAAAAACTAAAACAAAAAAAAAAAAATAAAAAAACAAATAATGATATACATATGTTCTCTAAGATATTTAAGTGATTATGCGTAAAGATTAGGAGAAGAGAAAATAAAATAAAGTATACATATACACATAGCGAGAAGTATGTTGAAGATAATTAAAAATAAAATACATTTCACTGAAATACATTTCATGAATAACTTTTTTTTTTTTTTTTTTTTATTTCTTTATGACATTTACAACTGTATTACATAAATACATCAAGTAAATTTGGACATAATTGATATAATGACATGAATACACTTGCTGAGTAACTACCCAATGGTAGCACTCTAATGATATGACTATATTATGAGATCACGGGGCCATCTTCTTTTCAGACGCCTCGGAGGGTTATCAGGAATTGAAGAGGAAGCAAGGTTAGAAACGAGAGGGTTGGGATGATTCTGAAGTTTATTATGGAAGGATAGGTATCTGGATTGGGCCAGATCTGAAACATAAGGAACATTAAGATCTTTATGGATAATTTTATTAGTGACAAAGTAAGGAGCATTGAGGATTTTACGAAGGATTTTGGATTGTAAGGATTGGATGCGAGAGGAATTCGATGGTTTAGTGGAGCCCCATAGCTCAACTCCGTAAGTCCAAATAGGTCTTATTATAGTCAAGTATATAAGTCTTTTGTAATTAATGGGAAGTTTAGAGCGTTTGTCTAGTAAGTGCTGAAGTAATCGGAAACGTCGAGCGGTTTCTTGTCGTTTCAGTCTAGTATGAGGATTCCAAGTTAGTCGTTTGTCCAGGTGGAGTCCTAGGTATCGGATTTGCTCAACAGGGATAAGTGGAGTATTGTTAAAGGAAACTGTAGGACAGGAAGTCGTTGGTTTACGACGAAGGGTAAAGGTAATTTGGTGGGATTTATTGGAGTTTATTTTAATTCTCCAGTTTTGACACCATTCTTCTAGATTTATGATGTGTGAT